AAATGGTGGTTGGAGGTATTCAACAGGAAACCCTGGAATCGGGTTTCGTGCTACTTGGCACTCGCCAGCAAGGTGTACCTCTACTGGTGGCCACATTACAACTCGATCGGTGGCACTCGATCTGCATCAAGAAGGACTTGGCACACATGACATTGATCGCCACCAAGTGATCAATCAATTGTGATTACATCTCATTCCTACAGGAGGTCGGTCGCGGCCCGGATAGCTCAGTGGTAACGTCTCCGACTGTGAAGCTGGGTGACACGGGATCGAATCCGTCAGGGGACATCAGTTCCTTCAAGACAACAGGTACACCTTGCTGACGAGTGCCGAGTAGCACGAAACACGGGCTCAGGGTTTCCTGTTGACTACCTTTAACCACCATCTAAGGCGCAGTTATTATAAATGCTACAGGCTTCACTGCAATTAGTTACCCGGGTGTGTTATAAAGCACACTGATTATATAATCCAGGGGATAACATTTCTCGTACACGGATACAAATAATTTTAGTAAGACTGAAATTTTCAACATGAGCGTTGGCGCTCTTTATGGAGATTGCGTTGCATCGTGCCACTGATGGTCGAGAATGGATCTACGTAAAGTTGAGAGCTTTTAAAACTCAAGTTTATATACTTCTGGAATATGTGAGGTCACAAACTGACTATGAGGAGAAATGTCTACAACTCTTGATTCGTGTGTATTCTAAGAGACGTTAGGAAAACCAGAAGGTCCCGTTCGAAAATGATAGAATCAGATATCTTAAGATCAACAGTAACGTCTTAATTCCTAAATATTCTATGAATCTTTCTGGACATCAAAATGAACGATTAAGCAAGAGTGCTACAAAGTCATGGAACAACGGAATTAGCATTGAGTTATTGAGACCATAAATTATATTACGTCGAGGAGAAACACACCGGCAATCCATTACCACTTCACACTTATACTTACGCTCGTATGTGATCCTAATTAATCACAAAGTATACATGCTATACACAATCAACCAGTCGAATAGTCACGTTTACCAGGAAATTCGTCGCTTAATCTCATAGTTTAAGTCAATAAACAGTAACAAAAGTTTCATATTTTCCCACAATATCAGAAATAGAGTTCGTAAACGCTCAACACTTTCGTGGCCCGATAGTTGATTTTTAATATGGACAGCCAAATTTTATATTCCCTGTGGAAAGAGGAATGCAATATGATAAGTGCAATAAGTGATTCCACAATATGTGCACTCATTCAAATCCCACTGTATACAGAAAATGCTCAAAGCCTAACTCCCATTAGCCCGTAATATTTTGTTGTTCAAGCAAGACATTACTAACCCAGGAGACAATAAGCCTTCTGGTGTTGGCCGGCAAAATGTTGATCATGGCTGAACTGATAACATGGACACTGATAGCGAAAAGTGTTGCAGTGTGGTAAGTGCTAATATTCGACATTCCAAACACCCGACCGAACAACATGCAATAGAGAAATCTCTCTTGAAGCAATTAAAAAGTGAAACAACACTTGGCATTGGTGGTTATGTTGCTATAGCAACCAGTGATGACTTAGATAAAACCGTCTTTTCCGAAGGGTCCCTATGTGGATGCTCCGACTTTTGGGAAATGGCAGATAGTGCGAAGACGAGAGAGAAGAAAAAGATACTCACAAACAACATCCGTCTAGTCGACAAGTCTTTGGTACGCTCAGTCTATGCGTCGAACGTTACTCTACCAAAGTTCCAAAGTGAGACGATATTTAACTCTGAACGAACTAGAAAACGTCTGGTCTTATCGGATAATGTTATGGGTAATTCACTCGAACTACACGATTGTGTTTCAAGAACAACCGAGGATAAGCGCATAGTGGATCGCGAGCAGGAAATGACATCATGAACATGACTTTCAAATGAGTAAAATCCGTCCCTAGTCTAATTATTGGGAATCTGAGAGAGTCAAAAGATAATGAGTTTTCCAAAAGGCATGAACGCAACTTGGATTTAGTTGAATCTGCAAGTGGAAATGTACTGCAAAATTAGGTTTCAGTACATATCACGAAAGTAATAAGACTTGGTGAGTTAGTTGGAGGTGACATTCAACAAAAAAAATTAAAGTTAGTTCTCGGAAATTATGAGGAAAGAGATGTCATACTGAGTAACGCATACAAAACTCGTAATTCTAATGTTCATATCTGACTGAACAGGCAGCTTGATGATGGAATCAAGTGGAAAAATGCCCTTACCGGGTCAAAAACTCGAAAGCCAAACAAACCTTAAGTTTTAGGTCTTTCGGAAGCACTGTCTTCCAAGACCTGTATAGAAAGAATGAGTGATTCTCAAAACACACTAACTGTGGGCTACACGAAACCTCGTAATCTTAGAAATAAAATGATCGAGTTACATCTGATAGCGGATGAATTAACTCACCATGTGATTGTTGGCACAGAAACGCGGCTCACCATATATGCAAACTCTTCCCTCATCACTGATGATTACATCTGTATCACAAGTGATATAGTCATAAATCTCAAAGAGTCAGAATACTACATTTTAGGGATCATTTTCATGTTCAATCGAACACAGCAGAGGCTCGTGATAGTGGTACATGTGAAGTAATTTGTTGTAAGACTAAGTCTAGACAAAGATGAAAGGCTATGGGAGGAATATACCTTTGTCCTCGTTGTCTTTCTTATGATATTATCTTAAGCCATATCCGTTTTGGAATATGGTCGAATATTGGAGATTTCAGCACGCCGCATGTTGACGGGATAGAGCTTGCAACTTCAGGTGGATAATTTGATAGCAACATGTTATCAACCATTATTCAGCGTACACTTGTACAAAATATCGCTGAACCAACATATACTGACTTGAAACATGGACAGTCATTGCTGGACCTTGTATTTACACACCACTGTGACGATGTCATCGAGATTTGGCGCCTTCCCCTGCTAGAAAATGGCGATCACGTTGTACTTTACCTTAAATTTTGGACACATGGTATACAGTACGTATCTGCTTCACCCCATCCCAACATCTGGCGAGTTAGCATTCTGACAATTAGGAACTGTAAAATCTCAACAGACTAGTTGGATAACGCAGATGGATCGATCAAAGACAAGTAGGACAAGTTTAAGGCTACATTTGATTCCGTAACATTACCGTACATCCCACGGTCAACACCTAGGTTATCACATTGCCCTCCATTGGCTAATAATGAACACCAGAAGCTGCTGAAGCGTAAGAAACACTTCCGGATCTTATCTTTGTCAACATGCCATGAATCATATAAGTGTGGGTACCGAAAAATTAGAAATATTTGTAAAAAGAACGTAGCTAGTGCCGCACCATTTACGAAATAGAGTAGGTATATGATAGCCGTACTTGTCTGAGACAGCTGTTCTTTGTACATTAAACGAAGAATAAAGCGTAGTGATGGCTAAGTTACTAAGTCACATAGAGTCATACAATCTGTTAACCCCCTAGCAACACGGGCATCAAAACATGCTTGACTGACTTACTTATTACAAGAAAGGATCGAACGATTTGTCTGTCGGTGTGATATTCATAGATTTAGTCAAAGCATTTGATAAGGCCTCTCACATAGGTCTTATGCAGAAGCTTCCGAGCTTCGGAATAACCGGTGCTGTACAGAAATGCATAAGTAACCTCTTTTGTCACCGAAGACAAAGAGTGTGGAGTTAAATAGGTTGATCTCTGAATAGAACCAAGTCAAAAGTAGCATTATCCAAGGCACCATCTCAAGTCCCCTACATTCCCCTACCTTTCTTAGATTATGGTCACTATTATTCGCGGATAGTGTAAAATCTGGGGAGCAATGAAGAGTGGGACTGATGGTTTTGATCTCTAAGTTGATGTAGACGAATTAATTAGATTATCCCAATGTTAGGGCTTAGGATCTAATTCTAGAAAGAGTGTGCTCATGCACATCGGACACGGTGACGGTTACCACCATGCTATCAACAGTACACCTTTTCCTAGAGTACAGGAACATAAAATCTTAGGAGAAATGTTGAGTCACGACTTGAAAATAAAAACACTTATTGCAACATAGCCGCCGCCAGAGGTTTCCGTGTGTTGTAATCACTTCGCCAAACATTCAAATGCTTTGACCAGATGTCTCGAGTCTTATGCACAATCTACGTAAGACCACACATAAAGTTCTGTATCCAAACTGCTGGTTCATGTCTTATTAAGGATACTTACTCACTTGAGCGTTTTAAGCACGCGGGAAAAATCAGTGAAGAGCCTCTCTAAACCCCCTTATGATGGGCGCTTAAAATGCCTTACCTTTTCCCCTTATGGTCTCGTAGAACGAGAGGTGACCTTTCCGTGTCTTTAGTTACGATGTGGGTGTTAATGTGGTTTATCTGTTTGATCCTTCCAGCATTGGAACTCCTCGTGGTCATAGAAAGAAGGCTCAAAAACTGAGATCTAATAAACTCAAAGTGGGGTTCCGTTTTTCTCATCCAGTAGTCAGTGTCTGGAACACCTTACCCGAACAAATAGTATCAGTCCTATAGGCGAACACTTTCAAAGAGACCTTCACTAGAAAACAAACTGTTAGGATTATTACAAGTCCACTAACATACTATGATTATTAATGAGGACTGAGGATTGATCTCGAACACATCAGTCATACTTCGTTGTTTCAACCGTGCGCTGCGTGTAATTTTCTTCAAGGTAACTTGATCAGCAAATTGTTTGTATTTAAATCACTATTCTTCATAAGTAGAAATGTTTTAATTCATTGTCACAAGTACATGTCTATTACTGTGAGGATGTCTTTAGACTTCAAAATGCACCAGTCTGAGAAACAAACATTTGACATGTTTTTGTCTGGTGATAAGTAAGAATCTGAGGTGCGTGCTTCGAAAGATTACCATCGTTGAATTGGTTCTTCATTCAGTCCACATGCTATGCTTTTCCACTTATCAAAGTTCACTTATGCCTTTCGGTGGAGTGGAAGGTTAATTTATTTGACCCTAACATGCATAAGGCAAGCAATCTATCCCCAATGGACATAGTTGTGATAATTTCCTTCTTGATCGAATATTATAGCTTGCATTTAAATCTCCAATTTGGATACAAGTAGTCTTTTATAATTTTGGGGTAACTAGGAACGAACAAAAGATAAATTTTTCCATTATTAACTTCTAATAATACCAACACCAGCTTTCATCTTTATGTGATGGTTAGGTTTGCATATTCTGATGACCCAGTCGATATATATATTAGACAGAATATTCATTCTTTCATGTCCTACCATACCAGACAGTTTGGTCTTTGAGTTGTAAGTTTGAAAGTAATAAACTCATGGTCTGGGACGAATTTTTACTTCTGAATGTACAAAAGCATAACGGCAGTCAGGGGTTTTTGTGGCGATGTTTTCTCTGGATAACAGAAGGAGAGCGTGGGGATGGCCTCAGAAATATCAATATTTCATGTGTTTCTGTCTTCGCTGTTAAGACCCTAAAGGTATAGTTCTAAGTCGTTCGAAACTCGATAGGGCGCCGTACATTACTGGCTTCAAGCAGTTGTCTGTTTTTCACTTCATTTGCGCTTCCTAGTCGTTTAGATCACTTCCAACCCAATCTCTTTTGTAGGTACCTCACTGAGAATTGTCCTTCGACAGTGGGCAACGTGCGAGTGACAACTTTCCTCCTACAACATGTGAAATCACCTCGTCCATCATTAAGCCTTATCTTCATTACCTAGCTGAAACAAGTTTACAGATTACATATTTATCATATATACATCAATGGCTTCAGTGTTTGCAGGTTTTCTGATTTATCAGAATTACTGTGATCGAACCTGTTTTTTTTACTATGAACGTCTGTTCAGAAGAACTCAGCCTTCAGCTTTCTTTTCTCTCATATACTTTACGAGAAACTACTTGTGACTTGGAAGAATGCCGATATTAATATCGGTCCGGCTGTTTGCTGTGACTGCGGAATAGTTGTTACTTATTACAGTGAAACAAGATTGCTACACCGACTGAAGAAAGGAAAATAGTGTGAATCTAGACTTATTCATTAACTGACCACTGATCAAAGAGACTTCAAAGCTAACTATAAGGTGTATATCATTTTAAATTTCCAGTCAATGGATAAATTTTGGACGGGCAGTGGTTAACGTAAATTAATTAACAGTTTAGTTTCTATATAACTTACAAAATGGATAAGTTTACCTACTTGACTGAAAAATATAGCTCGTCACTGAGTTGTACGTTTGTTTTTTGACCCAACTTTATACTTCTATTTCTGAATCCAACCACATCTTAGATTCCTCTGAACCACTTTCTAGTCTGAAGGATATATTGCCAACGTTACCCCGTTTCAAGATGTCTTTTGGAACTGAAATCTTTTAGTGCGGCTATATTCTGTAGCAGTCGTCCTCGAGGTGAAATTAGTTTACTACCAACACAGTCTGTGGTAGAAGTCTCCTATATTTCGATAACTGGGTGGTGATAATGTAAATAACATTATGAATAAATAATCGTTTTGTTTCTCTTGTCATCTTTAACAGTCATGCGATCCCCGTATCACGAAAACTTTTGTGAAGTAGTAAACTGTGCCACGGATAAGTCTAACAATAATAATGGTGTTTATCGATAATTGTGCTCAATTAACACCTGAGAACCGTAAAAATTGACTGGTTTAGTTAAGTTCTATTGAAACATCCATAATTCACTGTGCTCATTAATCGCTAAATAATTATGTTGTAAACGAAACCAATCCCAAACAGTTGCTGCTAATGTAATGCCATTTTATCTAAATTACTCAGTCTTTAATGGAACACAATAGATTACGCAATGTGTCGAGAGCGGAAAACCGAGAAAGGTTTGGACAATCAAATGTCCCAAGTCTTAATATTGGATTGCTGACGAATGTCGATTAACACAAAAACTAAGTGAAAGGGGATACTGCTGATTGTTTCTAATCATTGAACATCAAAAGAAGTGCGATACGATATCGGGTCTCTAAGACTTTGTTACCTAAATGCGAATCTGTGTAAATTACGGGACATTTTCATCAGAAAATGTTAAGTTTCGTAAAATTAAGTTCAATAGTGGATGAGCAAGTGGATTGTAACACGCATCCTGATAATATAGACTGTTTCGGGAGATAATAAGAACAAATAATCTGTGAGTAAATTATGAGAGTTCAGACACGTGGTTATCACATCAACTATACATGCCTAACCTAGGGAATACTAAATATCCAAAGTTTCCAAGCTGATCCCCATCGTTATGAGAACACTTACACTGATTGATAACTATGAACGGATTATTGTTATGCATTTCTAGTCCTCTGCACTGATTAGGTTATATTGCTCGAGTGTTTTTTTGTTTAGCAGCCGTCAAATGGTACAATCGAGAGTGGGGAAAGTCATTTCTCTCTCTCGAAATGCTCTCACATGACCACGTGTCAAGGAAGTTATACTCACTACATTCTCGCGGCGGGGGTGTTGTTTACAAAATTGAGAGGACGGAAAGCGAATGTTCGGCGCTTTAACCGGATTGGTGGACACGGAGAGTTCACCTAGGGGAATTGAAGAACCCTGATTCCAAACCAATGGTGCACATGGGTTCTGGGGTCCTGAGGGGACAAATGACGTATGAACCTATTGTTGTTCATCAGCTACCATGGGACTGCATCCCCTAACGTTCCCCACCGTCTTGTGGTCTAGGCCTCTAGGTCAAATGTTCGAGGAGTGGCTCCTTAAGAAAACCATTTGCTATGGTTTGAGCACCCAAGAAGTATTCAATCCTTCACACAAATCGAATGGCGAAGTGTAGCGCATATATATTTAATGCCTTCTTGTACTAATGTTTATGTGTTAGAATAAAATAAATATTTTGAAATGCCAGATTATTTACAAGTGGTATTCTTCATATTTGCATACTTAGGTTTTTGTAATCGTCACTTGAATTCTCTATATATTACATGCAAATACAGAATGAGTGTGGCCAAGAATTCGCTGGATAACACGGGAAATTCCAATGATGCTATCGATTGGGATGTATGCCTACTTTTTATTCGATTGTCATGTATTTTAGGATATGGTTTATCATCCAGCATTCGGAGCAGATATTGATCCCAAAGCAGGCTTACATCCAGCTACTGAAGCTTTGCAAGCACTGAAATATGAATCAGAAGATTCAGATGGTAAGTTCACTACCATGCTGACTAGTTTTTTTAATAATTAGCTAATGCTCGTAGTTACAAAGAAGAAGGAAATTATTATTATAAGGGGAAAGACTTTTCTAAAGCGATATTGTCTTATACAGGTGGCCTACGTGCAAAGTCATCAGATAGTAAATTAAATGCAATACTGTATACCAATAGAGCAGTATGCCATTTCTATCTAAGTAAGCGTTATCTTCAAAATCATCATTCTTTTTCTTTAGAGAATTACCGATCATGTATTCGTGATTGTAAGTCTGCTGTTAGTTTGTCACCGGATTATGTTAAAGCTTATGTAAAAGGTTTAAAGTTTTTTTAATGCTAGAACTTCATTTCAGGGATTGAGGCTTGCCTAGCACTTTCAAAAATTGATGAAGCTTTAGAATTGTCATCAACCGGCTTAAATATACTGCCTTCTTCTCCTGAATTACTTGATGTACAATATAAGGTTCTTAAAAAGCAAATGGAATTAGATAAGGAGGTTGAACAGCGATCAAGATTGGATTGTAGAAAAGAAAATGATATGAATACTGAATATGAGATTTTAAAGGTAATTAACCGATTTTTATTGTTAATTGACAATATAGAACTTTGCATCTTATCACATGTTTGGTCGTAGTCCAATTTTGATAGTGTTCAGAAATAGACAACTTGGTACTTCGTTATTTAAATATATTCAGAATCCTTTCCCATCAAGTCATTTTCTATTTTGATATCCTAACTGTATTCATGAAACTTCGCTGGAAATGTGTAGTTTAACTGCATAGTAATTTACTTGTTCTGCATTTTATGGTCTCAGTTTACTTATTACGGGCTTCTAAGCGTTTTTTATTCGGCTATCTATTACATTTTGGTTCTGTGCAATCACGAAACGATCATGACTCATACTACTTATCTTGGAAACTTACAATCCCCGGTCATCAAGACTCTTTAGTCCTCTCACAGAAATAACACAAGTTAGGCCTGATAATTGAACCATAAGATATTTAGGAGGGTAGGTCAATTATGTCTACCAACCTCATTGTAATAAGCCCTAGCTCTGAAAAATGGTCTCCTACGTAAGGAGCATTTTCTGCATAATATTGTTTTAAAAAGCTGCCATAGTAATTGGCGAGAGTTTAACTAGCAAATAGTTTTCAAAACTGAAGGCTATAACTTAATATTATGATTTCGCCAAACAGTTTTCCTCAAAGAGACAATTTCTGAATCTTTAACCATTTATTTTATAACAGTTGAAAAAAAATACAGAAAAATATGACGTTAATGTTTATCAAAATCCACTGTTGACTGCAGTACGTAGAATGTGTAATTTTTCCTGAGTTTAATGAGTCCTCGAACATCTGGTCAAGAAACTATCTTCTGAGTTATACCCTGATAGTCTGCGAATTCCATAAATTCCCCTAAGTGCTTCACTTACAGCTTTAAGTTTTTCGAAACTTGACATTCATATCTTATCACTTTTACACTATCTAGTCACGTGGAATTGATGTTAATCTCAAATTAAAACCTATTGATATGCCAGAAGTGGGTTGTTCCACATTTTATGTGGATTCATTGGGTAAATTTCACTGGCCTATTCTTTTTATGTATCCTGAATTCGGACAAACTGATTTCCTCCGTGATGTAATTGAATCAAGCATGTAGGTTTTCTGTATTGTACGGTTTTATATTTTTCTAGTGTTACATCCCCTTCAATTTTGTTTCAATGAAAATAGATATAAGTTAAATCGCTATTAGGAATTATTCAGTCACTAAACCATAGGAGTACCGTTGTGTCCTCGAGATTTTTTAACTGTACAGTTAATACATTAACCTTACACTTGCTAGCCTTTTCCATCACTCAACTTCAGGTCATTTAGTTACAGAGTATACACTCCCATGCAAAACTTTGAACTAGATATATATTATCAGTCCGTTCGACGCAAAATAAGTGGATTAACGTTGAAACTTACCTTCCATTGTATAGAATTTGAATATTTAAACTACTAAGTTAGAACTTCATAAGTCGAATAATTTTTATTGCAACGAATGCATTTTATAATCCTAATAAAATCCTGATGTGAAAAAACTTCACACATGTTTTATATTAGAAGCTGCTATATTTTTACACTATAGTCCAATAGATTGGCTAATTTTTACGAACTCAAATTAGTGTTTCTCATTACAGGGAATTATAGTTTTGTACACACCACTTTTTTAATAGATTTTTGTTTTGTTCTAGCGAATTTATTTATCGCATAGTTACTGGTTGTCCGCACTTCTAATAAAATAATAATAAAGATTATACTATATGAAACACATCCGTATAAATCTTCCAGCGCTTGACTTGATGAGAAAAGAATATTAGTCACAAAATCGGTTTATCAAAAAGAGTAATTTTTTTCATTCACAGCCAACAAGTGATTTTTAAAAAATATGTTACTGGACTATAAAATGACTGACTGTAGTAATAAACCTTAGAACCATGAAAGCGGGGTTTACAAAATATAATACTCTTAAAAATCAATAACAGCGGTAGAAAAAGGCATCTAGTCATCAATCTCACTCCCCATATTTTTGGTTTGAAACTAACAGTTTAGATATGAATGTACATAAAAATGTTTGTTTAAAATATGAGTTACTCGTGAGTAGTTGAATAATGCAAAGTAAGGATCGCTTTTACAATTTTTATTCAGGATCATTGATTGTTTAAAGTTAGTTTTTGATGTGAATCAGCCTCCTCCACCGTGGGATCCGAAGCGCCTATACTCCCTTGAAGATGATGCTATAGAGGTATTATTTTTAATCATAATATAAGTGTTATATTTTCTAAAGTGTTATCTTTTAGATTAATATTTCAATCTATATTCCTTTTATTTGTTGTCCAGTATTGTTGACACTACTTTTATTGTTAAGACTCTTTAAATGTCCTCTACTTAAGCTAATGAGAAATGTGTCGACTTGTGCCAAATAACATTTATACCAACTCTTGCGTTAATAGATGTTTGGAATTGAAGTCTATTCTGTGATATTCTAGTATACTTAATGATGGGAGAATTCCAATGCTTCATATGCCTATCCATCATGTAAATTTACTACCAGTGAAGTTTGATGATTCTTCATTTAAGAAAGGATTCTAACAAATTAAAAGCAGAAACAAATCCGTGGAAACATCCGTGAAACATCAAGTGCTAACTTAGGAATTCAATGTACATGTTTCAGATTTGGTTGCAGAGAAAAGGTTTATAAACAAATCACGTGGAACGTTTGCTACAAGTTGGAGATGGTATGCTCTGGGATTTCCTTAAAATTTAAACTTCCTTTACATAAATTTTCAACACAATACTAGATTTACTCTTTTGCAACAAATGTTATGATTACTAATTACAGAGTATCTGCTCTAAAGTGCGTGTGAGTAAAGTAATATCCCCCACAATTTTGAAGTCAAAAGGTTTTACTCTAAAATCACCTACATCATAATGTTAACAAAAAAGCTAAAGAAGAAGCCAGACAATGCATAGCTCTGTTTAATTCCACTGTTGATGTAAAGGAAATGAATAATCGTTTTTCCCTACTCATATATTCTGCTGCCAGATTTCCAGAACGTTAGTTTTAGATGCATAAATTCATAGAAGTCCTGTTTAAATAGTCTAGAACATTCGTAATACCAATAACAATTCCAATGACCGAATTGCGTTTGTTAATTTTGAACTAGGGACATTAATGATTCCTGTGAGATCGTTGCTTAAATACTTTCCGGGGACTTATTAGGTATATGTAGTCAAAATGCCAGAGGTTTTATTTTGAAGAACCTCCTGAAGATTCAGATTGTCAGTAAATGTTGGAGTGACTGAATTTACTGTATTTTTGTGAAGCGCTGTGATAAGTCTTGACTATAATAACACCACCTAGAGGTTTCGTAATTTACACCTATTTATTCCAATTGACATCTTAGCCATTTATTCAAATCCTAGTCCACACCGTTATAAATAAAAAATTATGGTGTTTATAACCCATACTACCTAAACGTGCAAACTGATGTACATGGAGTCAGGGTCAGTTGCCTTCTAATGACCAGTATACGCCTTCTAAAACTTATTTCGTTTTCGTTCTCTCTAGCCAAGTTCATTCGTTTGACAATTTTAGGATTGAAGATTTTCTTTCCTTACTATTCACCCAGGTTTATTTTGAACATGATATAATGAAAAAGTTTATTCTTTGTTCACCGCAATGTACAATCAAAAAACTAACTAAACAAAATGGGTAAGTGTTTTCCTCAATAATTATGATCGTGGCAGTTTATTCATCATTTATAAGGTATGATTATAAAAATGTTTATTCAAGAACTGTATAAATTATAGTTTGGTGGCTACGTGATTAAAACAGTAAACTCTCAGCCACTGCGTCTGAATCTCACTGCATTTACTTCAGTCCAGTATCATCGTCCTATTCCTATACAAGAACAACGTATAACAATTACGTTATGAAAGAAATTATAACAGTTTGCAGTGTTAACTAGTTATTTTCATAACGCGGTCTTTACTTACCTATATCTACAGAATAAAATTTACTCAGATTGTAGTTAGCTAGTTCGTCAACTGAAAAATAAGTCATCAGTAGGTAAATTGTCCTTCAGCGAAATTAACGAGTTGTTCTAGCAGTGCTCATTGTTGATGTTGCGGTTATTTGATTCAGCGAAAAGTCTACTACCGTATGTTTTGAAAATAATTGTTTCTGAAATCACTACATAAATCTTCCTAATTCTGGACGGATTGGGTGATTTATCGCTTTATAAAACTAATTTTCCATTCCTGTTCTTCAAGCCCTTGTCAAACAACTTGATGTATACACATGTGTTTTTAAATATACTATTTATAGCAGTAGTCAATAATCTCTTTAGTGTTCATTGGTTTAAGTTGTGTTGATATTTTCTATTGTTTGGAAATCTCATGTAAAAGCTAAATAAATCGATGAGATTATCAACAAGATTTGTTAATTTTGCGTATTCGATGAATTACGATATCTTTGTCAAAATAGTTAACTAATTGTCGTAGACAACTCTCGCTTTCCAACAAACAAATGTACGTGTACTGTCCTCGGGAATATTCCAATTTCAATTCATTTCTTAGATAAATATATATACTTTAACTTGGGTGGTTTTATGGGGTGGGGCCAATTTCATTTTAATCACCAATCGATGACATGTATACTGAATGCCTCATATTCTTGATTAGTTAACGAATGCACTTTAATTCCCAATGAAAACTGTCTTTTAAGTAATTATATTTTAACTAATTTATTTTTGAATACTGGTGTTTCATTCTTCTGTCTACTGCTAAATTTTGTTACCAACAAATTATCATTTTGCTTTTGCCCTTTTGTGTAGATTTAGTGTCGGCAGAGATCTACTCATTATTTTACATGTGATATCTAAACGATCAACACATTTCTATAGTAGTTGGAAAGACGAGAAAATTTAACTTTATTGACTGTCTAGCTTTACGCGTTATTTGCAGGAATTATCTTTGTTTTTTTTTTAAATACTGGATAAAATAAAACCCCATTTTAGAAGAAAAACGTTATCTATTTTTCCTCTGTCTTGTCTTTGTTCAGAGCTTTTGGCTTATGATCAAAGTAAAGATTTCCAAAAATAACTAGATTTATAATGAATTTAAGTACGTATCACTGAGATACAACTCAACATTTTACAGAATAATGCGCTTAATATGACAGGTGTATAAGACGGATTTTATAATCAGTTATTAATATATTTGTATTGTCAACTATTTTGGCCATGGTAGGTTATAAAAAGTGACCAACGGATGTCCGCAATGTAAATCTTGCCCTAATAGACTTTTTTACGAGACATCTGGGATCCTGAGGCAAACGATGCTTCCTTTGGTAGTTGAGCCCACTTCAGCATTGAGTACCAAACATGATAGAGACTGGTAATCTATGGTCATATGATGTACCTCACTATATGTACATTACAAATGCATCAATTTCCAAATGAGCAGCAGTCGACTAAAAAACTAACCAAGATAGTATGGTTCCTTTAGATAGCAAGTAAATGCTGGATATAAACATTTTTAGTTTGCTCGCCTTATATTGAACAATTCAGAATGGTGTTTTATTACTTATATAAATACATAAACGTTGATACAAGAAGGCATTAAATATATATGCGCTACACTTCCCCATTCGATTTGTGTGAGGGATTGAATACTTCTTGGGTGCTCAAACCATAGCAAATGGTTTTCTTAAGGAGCCACTCCTCGAACATTTGACCTAGAGGCCTAAACCACAAGACGGTGGGGAACGTTAGGGGATGCAGTCCCATGGCAGCTGATGAACAACAATAGGTTCATACGTCATTTGTCCTCTCAGGACCCCAAAACCCATGTGCACCATTGGTTTGGAATCAGGGTTCTTCAATTCCCCTAGGTGAACTCTCCGTGTCCACCAATCCGGTTAAAGCGCCGAACATTCGCTTTCCGTCCTCTCAATTTTGTAAACAACACCCCCGCCGAGAGAATGTAGTGAGTATGACTTCCTTGACACGTGGTCATGTGAGAGCATTTCGAGAGAAATGACTCCCCACTCTCGACTGTACCATTTGACGGCTGCTAAACACAAAAACACTCGAGCAATATAACCTAATCAGTGCAGAGGACTAGAAATGCATAACAATAATCCGTTCATAGTTATCAATCAGTGTAAGTGTTCTCATAACGATGGGGATCAGCTTGGAAACTTTGGATATTTAGTATTCCCTAGGTTAGGCATATATAGTTGATGTGATAACCACGTGTCTGGACTCTCATAATTTACTCACAGGTTATTTGTTCTTATTATCTTCCGAAACAGTCTATATTATCAGGATGCGTGTTACAATCCACTTGCTCATCCACTATTGAACTTAATTTTACGAAACTTAACATTTTCTGATGAAAATGTCCCGTAATTTACACAGATTCGCATTTAGGTAACAAAGTCTTAGAGACCCGATATCGTATCGCACTTCTTTTGATGTTCAATGATTAGAAACAATCAGCAGTATCCCCTTTCACTTAGTTTTTGTGTTAATCGACATTCGTCAGCAATCCAATATTAAGACTTGGGACATTTGATTGTCCAAACCTTTCTCGGTTTTCCGCTCTCGACACATTGCGTAATCTATTGTGTTCCATTAAAGACTGAGTAATTTAGATAAAATGGCATTACATTAGCAGCAACGGTTTGGGAATGGTTTCAGCCCATGCTCCATTGGGAGTAACAGGCGTAAGGAAGTAAATAAGTAATTCTTTTATTGTTAAACGATATCGTTAAATTAAACAGATGTATACTGTCCGGAGGGCTAAGAATTAATAATAGGGAGCTACAAAAATTACGCCGTATATATATTATTACGTCTTGAGAACAATCTACTAGATAAATGAATGTATGGTTTGTTGGGTTTAAAAATAAAACCATGTACAAATAACAAATTTAAAGAAATTAAAAACGGATAATAATTTTCCATATATATAAGAATGATATGTATGCATGAGTAAATCATCAACGCTAACTTGATAAAAAAGTGGAATGAGACAATGAAAAAAATATTCAAAGAGAAATACAGTAATCATAATAAGCATAAAATAATATGTAAAGGACAATAAATGTATAGTGGGTGGTACAATAAGTGTGCGTGTGTATACTACGTATGAATGGATAAGTGCGAAAAAAAGTCCCAAATATTGTTTGAATAATTGTTATGTAAATCACAGAGGGTAAAATATTTTAAAAAACCTGTTAACAATCACATAACAAATAAAAACTGTGGAAAGGATCAAATATGTTTTCAAAAAAATGGAAGCCCACGCAGAGTATGTATAATAGAAGAGAACGACGACCAGATAATAAAGTTTGTTACATGGTGGGTTTTCTTCGAATTATAACATGCCTTCTACGTTTCCTGATTGTCTTCGATGCTGAAATATTTACAAGAAAATACGCTAACAATGTATAATACCAACATCTTAAAAGAATGATAACTGAATTAATTATTCGTCCTGATATTTTCAGAACACAGCCCACCGTAAAAATTACCTCATAATATCATTCCGGTAATCCTATTCAGGGTAATGTAAGCAAAAATTAAATACCACAAGATATGAATTGATTTCCTGAACCATAAAAAACACTCATTGAGGCTACCAGTGGATCCAAAAGAGACAGTCATATTTTAGAAATTTGAAAAATATGATACTGCGAGTTAGATTCGTCTAGATACACTGACTGTAAGCTTGATTCTTAAAGAATGAAACAGCTAAGTGATATTTGTATTAATTATAAAACAAACCAGCTGACGCTATATAGAAAACACAAAGTAAAAATATCTAAATGGATTAACCCAACGATCAATACAAGAGAACATACATGATCAGTCAGTTTGCCAGCTATTGCAAGACTAAAGTACTGGATGGCTGCTTTTGCTTAAAGCTTACACCAACTTGCTCATTATTGGCTACATTGAAAATCGAAATAAAAAATTTACTGACACTATTTAACTTTGATGTGTTTAAATTTTGTATACGATTAAAGTTATAATAAAGTACGTAATTATAGAATACTGGTTTTAGTATTGCATCACTCTGCAGTAGTAAGAAGTATCGCCAATTTTAAGTATAATTACTACGGTTTGGATTGGTAAATGAGAAAAATTGAGTATCTGGAAGATATATATATATATATATATATATATATATATATATATATATATATAATCACATGAAATTAATTCAAGTTTAAAGTTTCCATTTATATGAGGTTCGAAAAACTGCGAACATCGAATTATCCTAAACGAAGAAAAAGATATCTCCTTGATTCACTTTAATTATCATCGAAACATATCATAAGACTAAAACGAGGCTAACATCTTAGATAGAACTCGTGTGATGAAAATGTGAGTGTAGAAGGGAGCAAGCATCACCTGGTAAGTATACCCAGGAGAAATAAGCCTGAATCCCATAACCAATACTCGTGAGTTTAAACATTTACCTGGTTTCGATCCATCAAATGAATTAGCAAACCAATAAATCAGAAAAAAGGAATATAATTGTAATGAGCTGTGTAAACCAGCATTATTATTATCGAAACAAAAATATATTGTACCATGCACAAATAATAAACACCGCCTTTACTCTAAACTCACTGATCGTCCGGAATGTCTAGGTCTATTATGATTAGATACTGCACTGTAATGATCGGTCTGTAATTGTTTTCGATGTTTAGAACTGGATTTGTATTGATTATGATCAGCCTTGTCTTCAGTGAGCGTGACAGTTTGTTCATCATCATTCTCTTCTGAATGATATTGTTGTTTCTTCTTAAAATGAGGGGAATTCAAAGGGCGCAGTTGATCAGATCGTTTCAATCTATCTACTTCCTGATTATGGTGATTATTAGGAAGCATTACACCTCCGAATACTGGCACACCACCTACAGGAGGCTTATGACTAGATGACAAATTGCTTATTCTCGTATTCGGATCATAAGTGTAATTATCTTTTTGTTGGACAGTATTCGTTGATGACTCATCATGATGCTTCTTACGACGATGTGTTTTAGTATTTGCATATATAGGAGAATTCGGTCTACGCTCATTTATGGAATTTGATATCTCAGAAGGATGTCTACCTTTACGATCGTTTTGACCATGTTGAATAATAGGATAGTCACTTGATTGAGATCCACCTGTAACAGACAACATTTCGTCTGGTTTACCTTTTCCAGAGTGTCGATAATTTACATAATCATTATAAGGAGCTTCATTATCATAACTTTCGTTTACAGACCCATATGATAAAATATTTGAAACACCATCACTATATTGTTTACTCATTTGAGACTGTACATCTTGTACTTCAGACACAACAGACTCAGAATATGGATGATGTCGTGGAACAGTTCCGTATAATTGCGTTGCATTACTATTCCCATTTACCTAAAATGATACGCAACAGATATATACATAATGCTTAAGCATAAAAAACTGCTATGTAAAAGACAATTGCACTGTAACAAACTATTTGTTGGCTGTAGGTTTAGTAGATTGAATCAGAAAATTTCGCAAGAAATCTGGGATTTGAAAGTATACAACACGAATATCTGTAATAATTAATCAAAGGTACGGATTAAATAGAGACAAAACCGGAAAATACATACTTACTCAAACGAGTAATCTTAGTAAAATTAGTTTCATAATACAATGTATCTTTCGGTGGAAATAGGTTACATAAGAAAAACAATTACGTTAATAAAATATGGCAAAGGCTTTCAACAAATGCCTATTTAGAAATCAAGCAATTCACACAGATACACAAATTCTCATACGCGCAATCAATACATCGACTACAGGAAAAAGGTAAGCAACATGGAATGAAGAATAGAAATAAATTTAAATGTACCAATTTTCTTGAAGTAGATTATTCGAAACCATATAAATGAGAACAAAGTCATAAAACTCCAAAAGACAAGTTGCCTTATTTTCTATCATCCATATATTTTCATTACATAATGCAACTCAGTTACCAAGTTGCCAGGTTTATGTGTACTGATTTTTGAGCCATTAACCGACTTTTCTACTGACGAATATATAACACTCGCATTGCAACTAACAATTTTAACTGCTAAAAAGACACTATAATAGTAAGTGGTAGTATCTGTGTAACGTGATAAATGGTTAATACTTACTTCAATGCTCAACGGTGATGATCCAAAGTAATGTCACCATCATCAGATGATTTGACGTGTATTAGTTGCTCAGTGCTTATAGCTAATAAACACGATTTATTAACACTAATGAGTAAGAGATGAATTTAGTTCACCCTGTGTTATTTTATTATTACAACAAGGGACATAGTTACTGAGTTGTATAGACAATAAATGGTATCTATGAGAAAATCACACGATATCAGCTACTTAACTATTATAGTGCCTTAAAAAATATAATCCAGACTGAATAAGACCAATAAAAGAACGTATTTTCAATTTGCAAAATAATTAGCAAACGCTGTAGTAAACTGGTTTATTGAACTGTTGAATATCAATTAGGAAAACATACGCAGAAATCTGAATGTCAAAGTAAACGCTTAATTAATAGCATCATCAGACCTTTTCTTACAACACTATTCAAGATTTAATACCTAGTTCTATTCCCATATGAAAATAATATAGATGACCTCGATTATTTACGCAAATTAAGCTAATTTATATGTATAACACTGATTATTTCGTGCATGAAATGAGAAACGTTTTAAAAGATTTAGGTTTTTAAAAATATTTAAACTTTTTTGAGATAGTGAACTAAAACCAATTACCGTAACAAAAGACTACAACACCTAAGGACAAACATCAATTCTTTTCAACATATAAAAAACGACAAAGTAATATAGATAATAGTATTAGAGGCAGTAGTGAGAAACGATTCATTGAATTTCTACAAAGTTGTCTATTAATTTGTATGATTAAGGTAACTATACAATTACTCTAATGCGACGTAATTCTTTTTACTATCGTCTGGAAGTCGATAAATATTAAAATTACTAGAGATCTTATTTGTTCTTAATGATATAACAAGGCAAGAATTAAGCTTGATTGTCAGGTACTAATTCCGTTGGAGAGTGAAAAACTTATAATTCTCACATCTTCCAATCATTAATTTGTCAAATGACTTGTAATCAATGTCTCTTCTTGTGTTCATGTATATAAATAAGCTGTCCTGTCTTCCGATATTAGTTTAATTGACGGCTTACATCAATAATTCAGTTTCATGAAGTTATCACTCGACTAAATTGTATCACTACATAATATCAATCGACCAGTGAATTCTCTTTATTCATTTAACAGTCCCCAAACGTCTTTTTATTACAGTTGGTCACACAAAATACGTCCGTAACCCAATGATCAAGCAGATATCCTTATGCCTGGTGCATGCTATATATTTTGTTTTTCTCAACAGTCCAAACCAAATGAGGTGTTGGAGAAATTAAGCGTATAGATAAGTGAATAAAAACAAGTGGTTAAATTACTAAGCCACAATTTGATTATAAGGTTATCATTAAAAAACTCGAAAGGTTATTTCAATCTGAAACCTTTCGTGTCACGGATTGGCATCAATTACAGAGCTGTTGAACAGTTGCTACGATTTCAACAGTAAGCACCTAGTACTCTGTGTAAGATTGAAGCCAGGACTTTGAGATCTCAACATGAGTACAATTCCATTAAGTCGCTGAGACAATCGACCGGTTCACATTCTCAAATTGAATCTATTCGACGCACAGCGTAGTCCTTATTCACTGTAACTGGAGAGTAACTGATTATTTGGTGATATGATTGAACTCCATCAGACAGAATTTCTACAGAGATTTCGTGAATCTGTTTTGAAATTATTCACAAATTAGCACATGATTATGAACTAAGCGTGTTATTTTATAGCACTGAATTGCTAATTGTCATTTGACAAAAAAAAAGTAGAATAGGCAAAAGGAACTTACTCCACTACCCATTTGAACAGAACCAAATCTTCGTAATCCTTGTAACTGATCATTATTTTGAATTTTGCCTACAGTCATATCACGTGGATGTGCTCTGTTTAATGTATGCATATTCATAGCTGAAATTAATGATTAGAACTAAAGTTTCTAACTGTAGAACATTAAAAAAAATATTGAACAACAAAACTATTTTATCGGAAATTTATAATAAATATAGAGTATCAAAAATGGTAATATAGTGAGAATAACAAAACACAGAAATAATTCAGTGATAATCAACTCGTATTTTTGTAAAAGGAACAAAGAGGTTGATGATTAAATGAGATTCGAATTTTGTAAAATGCATCCACTGCTAATTTATTCAATGTTGTTTTAGCACTTGTGATGATGGTTGTTCATATCCTTATTAATAATTACCTATCGGAAAATGTATTACCATTGAATCAATCAGTAAATGATCTCATTATTCTCGATATTACTTGTTTTACTTCATTCAGTATAATCTTTTATTTCGAACTATTTTAAATAAGAGTGGGGCTGTGATTAAGTAGTGAAGAAGTTCAACTTTCAGCCTTTAGTGAGTCGCAGGTTCGAATTCCGTTCTACATACTACAATTTAGACACTCACGATTTTCAGTCAGGCTTTTTGGCTCAATCGGTAAGCCAGTGGAAACAGAAATTCCAGATTAGATATTTATCATATCTCATTATCATCCTTGAAAACGTAAATAAAAACCAACCAATAAAGGCCTTCTAAATTGGCATTTCAATTTTTGGAAAAATTGCATACAATAAAACGGAATAACAGTTAACTCTACTAGTTGATTAAAGAATTATACTAGATAGATAATTTTATTATGACAAACGCTTCTTCAATTCGATACATTGCGTAATTTCAGTAGTCAGTTAGTATGTCATAAATAACCATAACGCCAAGTATTGTATGTGAAGAAACGAATCGTCATTATCTCTAACAATGCAACATTGTACTCCTAAATTATGGTATTTCATGTGATAATGAGAAAAATATTTTAGAAGTCACATGATTGTATTGTATATGATGATAAGTAAACAAATGAATGAGTTTAGTTCTTATTTATTTATTTACTTATATGAAACAGAAACGATTTGATACAATCAAGTACTTAAAACCAATGCCCCATACGAAACGAGACAGCATTCTTGTTAATACATCAAAAGAAAGCAAAAAACGGTAACAAAATCATCAGTGACAAGTGAAATATAACACTGCATACTCTCCAAATAATACAACTTATTAATATTATAGTATTGCAGTTACCCTAATCCATAGCTTTTTTATTTCTTAGTTTAAATAAACAGCGCTTATAATAAGATCGGTATGCAAGAGAACCCCATACTACATTAATACATCGTTAATTTGACATGGCAAAACCAAGAATTTCCTTTTAAAAACGAAAACACAACTTCATAATCACATACAGACTGGTGGGTTTCACTTTAAACCATGCTTTCCGCCTAGCCCAGCCAGTTAAGTCCAGAACACTAATCTCAGCCTCTGCAATATAAATGCTTATATTTCAAAAATACTGAGTATATATACCAATCAAACAGACCACAACGTAGCATAAAATAGAAAATAACATTTGTACAAAATCTGGACAAATGTGGCTGTGGATGTGGGAGGCAGTTACTAATAGACAGGGCATAATTCAAGAATGGTTAAATGTATAATAATGGTTCATAGGTCAAAATAAATTTTATAATAAGAGGAATATTAATATGAATAGTTTATTTACTTAACAATTATACAGTAAAAATATACGTTTAGTATTGATCCGTAAAAAAATCCCGAAGTTACCATTCATTATATTTATCGGGACCTAACATACGGCTAGTCAGATTGGTGATGTGATGGCCACTGTTGCTATGCACGACTGGATAAAACTATAATTCAGTGGTTGGAATTTAAGTTTTCGCCAGTAAAACACTGTTCCGCAATGACTGATTAAGCTAAAGCTAACACATTTGTTAAGATCTCCCTATACGACTCAGCTACTCTTATTGTTCAGCATTCTTCGGACACTTCACTCGACTAGTCGTCAAATCAAACCATTCCTAGACAGGAATGAAGTTATATTTTGAATAAACTAAGTTAAATGGGAATAAAAATCACGATTAGAACGTTAATATACTTGTAATTTTACACCAGAAAATTGTAGTCTTCTCAAACTAAACGTTAGCGCAGATTGCTAAAAAAACAACCAGTAAACCTGCCCCAACACAATCATGGACGGAACATAGTTTAATTCAGTCTACATCCCACTAACATTTAACGAAAATATATGGCCATCGACGATCGGTTATATATATATATATATATATATATATATATATATATATATATATATATATATATATATATATATACAAAATGGTGATCTATATATTAGTTATTGGCTTGATACAGAAAGAAAACCGGTATAATTAACTCTAGTTAACCTAAAACGAAATAAAGTTATTCTCCAAAATGCAAATTCATCCTATTGTTTAATAAATCAATTTTGCACCTTAGAATAATAATCTTAAAGTACAAGTACTCAAAATTCTAAAGACTTAACTAATTTGCATCTTAATTTTTAATAAATCAGCTATAATAATCGATTAATGAGTAGATTTCTCTCGGAAAATCATTGAGTAATAAAGTTAACTAAAGTACAATAAATAACTGAAACTAAAATGTAAAATTTATTAATAAGGTCACAACTTATCGTAGCCATTTGCCTTTATCCACTAATGTCTACTTTTTTGCTTGTTTTTTTTTAAAAAAAAGAATAGCTTCTCGCTAATTTGTGATAAGTTATATATATATATATATATATATATATATATATATATATATATATATATATATATATATATATATATATATATATATATATATATATATATATATATATACAGACTCAAGGTATCCTATGTGAATCGTATAGATATTGCCATAAGTATTTTGAACAGAGCTGGATGGTTACTAGCAGTGAAATCCAGGAAACACGTCAATAAAAGACTGATCAGTTGCAGTCCTAAGCATTCAAATAACCGATAGAAAGAAACTAAGCTTCACTTAATTGCAAAAGCCAGTGGCTATCTGAATTCGGTAGCTTAGTGGATAGAACGTTGACGTTTGGAGCGAACGGTACTGCGTTCGAGTCCAGGATGAATATCAACTCTGAAATGCAGGTGTATCCGACTGATGAGTCCCAAGTAGGGCGAAACACGTTTTCCTCTAGCCACTATCCAACTCTGGTCAATACAATCTTAAGAGTTACCACGATCCCGGTGAGAAAGTCACTATCTCCATTTAGTGGATTAGTGGATAACGTATCGGTGTTGGAAGCGATTGGTGTAAACACCAACCTTGAGATGCACGTATATGTAACTAAAGCATCCGAAAAAGGACGAAACAGGTGTTCTTGACTCCACTAATAGATACGAATAACACTAAATACTTATGTACATATCGTTTCTTGAAGTATTTGTTACCAATTAATTTTCGACATTATTTCTTATCATTTACTATTTGTTTAAAAATACTGTTGCAATTAAAAGTATCAATGTTTTCGGATTGTTTTGACAAAAAGGCAAAATACTAATTCTACTTACCAGCATTTAAACCAGTAGGCATACTTGCCGTACGTCGCTTCAACATTGAACGATTAAACCGTGGATGTGGCCTATCAATATTCGTTGTACGATATTGGAAGAATGTTCGTCCTGTATAACGAAATTGTGATTTACTTAAACTAGGTGTTGATAAAGGTCTTTTAGGTGCTGGCGTTTCTTTCAGTCGAAAAAATGCATGATGTTCGACGGCAGCTTTCCACAGTCGATTAGCTAAATGTGGATTTAACAAACGAAAGCCCACAATAGCTTCTACAGGTTCTGACTAAAATTGAACAAAAAAGGCAGTTGTTAGATAGGCAAGAAAATATGTCAATATTGTAAACGGGATTATCCACTACGTAAATTAAACTGTCATGATGATTGAGTATAAGTTGATACCTCAAATGTAACCAAATTATATCTAGTTTTGATTCAGAGCGAAAGCAAAGGTATATTTAGGTTTGAAGAAGAAAAGACTAACGATGTAAGCGTAAAATGTTAACTAGGGCAATTATATTATATAAAGTACTTAAATATGGGACGATAGTTTTATTCTAGTGATCAGTAAACAGTTATAAAACTCATACTAAGCTGAACTTTCAAACATTCAGTATAGAACGGATTGTTATATGATTAATAATTAAACTAATTCAAGGGTACTACGAACACATGCGATACCTTTTCGACAGAAAGTATACACTACACAGAAAAAAATCTCAATTTAATTCAATCGTCAACAAAAATTAGTCATTGTGATAGAAAGACCAAAGTGTTTTTGAAACAGTCAGTTTCTTGAATACTCGAGCACACCTGTTTCTCATCTTTCAATTTGATTAATATGCACATGAAAACTAATGTCATGCAACCTATAGATTTAAAGCCCGGAAATCGATTATGGAACATTTCATTCATACATGCATGAGCAAATATATACACACAAACAAACACTTGTAGAAAAGGTTAACATGATATTGGAAAAACCGAAAATATGATAAACTATTCGTACAACACGGTCACACAGTTGTTTTGCTCATTAGATGAACTGCATAAAAGATACTAAGACAAAGTGAAAAGATTGTTTGTTACGCACTATTTATCAATTACAGTTGTAGCATACTTGCGTGTACGAGTAAGAAAACCAGTTTAATTTTCGTTGCTCTCTTTCTCACACACAGACACACATTTCTATACATTTATTCACAAAATGACTTATAGGTCTAGCCACAATAAATCAATTCAATGTGTAGTGAATTGTAGTTTAGCGTAAACTTTGATAATTTAATTCAGTTTACTAGTTGACTTTTCCTTGAGTAATTTCGATTATGACAGTTAGTTAGTTAGCAGGAAACAACAAATGCAAAAATACGATTTTTGTGAATGACTGGCTTAATATGAATGTGACATCGATAAAAGAGAAACATCATTGAAAAGTTTACGGAATAAAGGATTTATTTTTCACTAGCTGTAATCTGTACTCATATAACGTATGAGCAAAAAGATTTTCTTTACATTACAAAAATTTGAAAGTAGATGAAATAGGACTTCGCGATAAAATAATACAGATAACATGTTTCCGAAATTCTGTTGATCAGTATATTCAATACATGATGTAGTTACTTAATCGTTTCTATTAAAAATCCTCTACAACAGTGTACCAGAGATATCAAAGATTAGTTTCATAGATGCATCTCACTTATAAGTTGGTTTCACTACTAAATGAGTATACTGAATGAACATTATCTATTTAGTTAACTAAAACATATCTAAGACAAGAAAAAGCAGTCGAGAAAATAAGTAAAAATGTTGGCTTTGAGCAGACCGTCAATATATGAATTTCGTCTAAAAATAAAGTTAATCTATCCGGTTGTTAGTATCCTGGTTTTTTGATCCAGTGAAAAGGATTTCGATATCCAGTGGTTGATTAATGAAGAAGTCAAAGCATCGGAACCGGATACAAATAAAGACTCAGTCGACGTTTTGGGGACAGTACTTTTACTAAATATATTAGTCATTACCATATTTACGTCAAGTTGAAGCCCATTGAAACTTTAATAACCTATCATATCACAACCGAAAAATACCAAATAATTCAACAATGCCAACACTAATTTAAACTACTGTAAATGATCATTTTCAAATGAATTCTTTGCAGAATTTACAAGTCCTTTGAGAAGAATTATTATGCTGATGAGTCTCATATTAAAAAGAATTGTTTGATACTCCTTGGTCAATCATATTTCTTCAGATAAGGTAAGTCCTTGACGAAAACCATCTTCACAGTTAGGAAATGTCAATAAAGATGATAATTTAAATTGTTACTAACGATCTATAAAATACTTCATACGTTTTCAAATAACTCAAGATGACGTATTATCTTGTTTAAGAGTTTAAGCTAACAATAACTTGTGGGTGAAAAACTACTTGAAGACATTATACTGTTAAAATATTTTTCAAGAGGTTAATAGGGTAGAGTAGAGCTGGGTGGATAACAAGTTAAGAAAACTTATAAAATTTCATAGAAAATCTAACTAAAAAAATAAAACAATGATGTTAAACACGGAATTTTATATAAATGCGTTACAATGGATACCAGTAAAATGAAGAAATTGTTGTGAAAAAATACTAAAGGCCATTTACAGTTAGGAAAATATTTTGGTCAACAAGGCAAAAGTCACGATGCATACACGCACACAGATACTAAGGATGCGAATAAGAAAAGTGGACAATAAAATTATCAATAGCTACGTCTGGAATGGTTCCGTGACAAATAGTTACGGATTAACTGAGCAGCTAGTCCTGTGATATGAGAATCGTGATATAAGCAATATGTTGGCAAAAGTCAACGAGGAGTATCAATACAACTGCAAAATATATGACCAGTAGCTAATTATGTTTAATAAGCTGTAGTATTTGCTTTCACATTTATTTTCAGCACGATTCTCTTTTCTACAAACTAGAATACTAACTCCATTAAAAATTATAAACAATTGAAAAGTGTGATGATGGAAAATATTAGTGAAACAAGTTTAGATCAAATTACTTTGGTTTTGTAGCATATGCACGGAAAAAATGCCTCGAAATGTTATTGATGACCTTAAGATGCAACCATATATGTTGTGAAAGAAAACAATGTAAACTGAGTTGTATAGAAAAATGATACTCTTGCAGGACAAGCCACTGGGCTGAAAGAATATTTATTTAGTGAAATTACGTAATGTTTATGCAATATGTACAACTAATCTCTAATCACATCTTTTTATCCCGTTGTGTTCTGCAATCCAGGTTGGATCTAGACTGTCCTGTGAGTAGCATACATTACACTAACTGGCTGAAGTTAAACACGTTACTGACGCATAATATTGTAATTTTCCAAACTAAAGTAGCTAAAAGTTTTATAAAATAGATGGATTGTCGTTCGGTGGATAACTTCTCGGATGTTTGAAGCGAAAAGTACTAAGTACAAGTCCTTAGGTGAAGCAAGTACATTCAAATGACGAGTTACAAAAAAATGAAACGCGCACCCTGAATTTCAATGCCTGGCACAACCCATCTATTCAATAAAACTTGTAACAATACGGCTATATCGAAGCAACCATCACAAGATTCACACAACCCTACTAAAACCGATCAAAATTCAGTCAAGATTATAAACAATGGGATAATGGAAGCCCACACAAATTAAATTAAGTAGTTCTGATACCAAAAATTTATGGTAGCTATTCACATGATGTGCATTTTATTCAATGTGTACATAAGAACAAGTATTTAAAGTAAACCAAATAACTTACATAATCAGGTCGAATTTTTAAATAGAAATTATTTTTTTATACGATATACGTAGAACTTTAGGCCATGCAAATCGACCAATACGCAGTCGGTCACGATAAATAACTACACCATGAAAACCAACACCAATATAAATATCGACATTTTCCGTATCTTTAGCTGGGTGTAAATCAACACCGTATAGTTCCAACCGTTTAGCAGTCTCTAAATATTTAATATCAGCTTCATTCGGTTTCATACCACTGGAATAAAGCAAAAAGTGTGTCGTTAGTAGTGTGTTCGTATATATATATATACTATACTAGCACTAAATGCACTAAATTGAGTGTATTAAACGAGTCCCGAAAATCTAGTTGTAATAGCTTTATTTACATGCATGAAATGAATCCAGTATATGTTTATGAGTAAATATTATCCACCAAAAACTATTAGATATAATATTAAAGTGAGTTTTACTCAGCATTAAAAACAATAGGCCTTTGAAGTGCTGCTAACTTTTATTCAGGGTTCCTTATCCATGAATACAGGATCCAACTTGAAAACTTCAGGCCGTACGATAAGCACGCTAAGTAATGTATAATAAATAGCATTTTATTTATTTATTTGAACATATAAACATTGGTACAAGGGGACACCAAATACATATGCGCCACACAATAATAATGAGGCTGTGAAGACATAGAAAATTTGAAGTTGAAAATTCCCATTTCGACATTTGGTAAATAAAGAAGGAACGAATTGAGCGAAGAAATTTCTTTTCAATTAGTTTTTCATCATGGCTCTACAATAATATATATATATATATATATATATATATATATATATATATATATATATGATCTACAATAATATCATACTCATCGAGTGGATACGTTACGAAACAATTGTATAATGGCATTTAAATTAGCATTGAGCAATTGGAAGAAAGAGGATTATCAATATTCAAAGTAATTATTAAATCAAGAAGTTGCTACGTTGCGCTATATATATATATATATATATATATATATATATATAAGGGTGGTTGCAGAAGATAGCATTTAATCTGGCTGCATTAAATGTTTTTGTACAGCTCTTCTTAGTTTCTGAGTCACGATTTTTTCAGTGGTGTCATCTATGAATTGTAATTTTATGAAAAGTACTTTCTTAGGGACGGTAGGTATCTTTGCCCTTGTTTTCTTCTCCATCATGTGCTTGCTTGCTTACTTAGTATAAGTGGGTAACCTATGAAATTCATCGACAATTACAGGTAGGACAGTCTGATCGATGTTGTCGAGGCAACAAATCAGTTGAACTGCTCTTCGAAAAACTCTGCCTATCGTCCAAGACGTCGGTAGATGTTAGTGATTGGTATCCCATCATCTTCACATATTGTTTCACTCACACCAGACGTCTTGCTGCCAGTGACTTGGATGAGTTCAAAGAGCTCATGGCAGCTACCAGATGCAGTGGCTGCATCTAACTCGCCTGCACGCTCCAACTACCAGACTTTTCGGTCCTTACACAAGTTTCGCATAATTTCATTACGTAAAAGTTTTCGTTTATGGTTAAACTCGCGGTCGCCCGGAGACCGACGGGCTTCAATGAGTTGTAAGGAGCCTGAAGAAATCCAGTGCTTATGAGCGGGACGTTTCACGAAGCTGCAAGCAACTTAACTTGCACTCAACTGCGACAAACGCTCATCTATACTTTTCGATGGGCTGACAGCTAGCCTTGAAGCTAGCTCGGTTTAATATTTAGTCGCAAGAGAAGCTGCAACTAAGTTTCTGACATCGATCCGTTTACGACGATGAACTTGCTGACCACTGAGACGTGAGGTAAGATCAGCGCAAACAAAGGCACGACCAGAGTCTAGATAGGCACTCCCAAAGGAGCATCAATCTTGAACACAACCACGCCAGTGGTAGCTGGTCGCGATGTTATCAATCTGAGTTCAAGCTTGAGATGCAGAGAGGCGACGCCAGGGAGCATGTCGGCGATGACTGTGCCAGAAACGGGTTGCAGCCTGCGCACAGATGCAGTAGAAGGTCAATATCTGACCTACGACCAACAGGTCCCCATTGATCACCTAAACGACTCTCTTCTGTGACTAGACACCCAACCTGAGCATTCGAATTGCCAGCTTGTACTACAATATCGGTCGGAATCACTTTCTGTAGAAGAACAGTTAACTGGTGATAAAACTCATCCTTGATCGCATCCGGACCGCAACCTGTCGGAGTGTAGGTGATGACGAAAAGACATTGTTCCTCACACCGATTTCTTCTTACTTTGATGAAGCTTTCTAACCTAACAGCACATAACCGACTGTTAGTGGGGATCCAATCGATCAGTGTTGTCTCGGCTCTAGTGCTTAGTGCGACACCAACGCCAGAAAAACCAGACGAAGATGCCACAAAGTCCCCGGATTAACACACACAAAACAAGCTATTCGAAAAGACAGATGAAGAGTGAATTTGTAGTACTCCACTAGTCTTGAATACGGATCTCCGATAGACAACAGATATCGATATTGGGACATTCTAAAGATATAGCCGACACTATCTATTGTCTGACCTGCATCAGTGTGAGAACGTTGAAGGCAGTTTAAACGGTATACGTGATTTCAAAAAGACTGATTCAATATTCGTAGTAAGTGGTAGCATTCAACTTCCGATCAATCAGTGAATTGAGGTGGTTTGGATAGGACAGAGTTTCCACTATACGCGAGGTGAAAAATAAAATACTTAAAATGAGAATAAAGGGGAATACCTAAGTGACGTAATATGGAAGAAATAAAAATGAATGTTATCATATGATTGTGAATAAGATTTATCTGAGTGAGAGTTGAAGCAAGGATAATTTTCCCAGTAGTGATTATCATTCATTTTTGTGGGGGCTGTGATATTCCCCGAGTGCCAAAACCGAAGCATTATTCAGATTTGTTTATTAAGCACAGAGTTAAGCATCCAGTCACGTCTTTCGCGCATGACGCTTACTAGTACAATCTGAAAATGAAGTGGATTCGAGTCGGAGAAGCGCAAACTAAACGGTCAAAAGTCAAATGCTCTATTCGTTCATTCAGTTGCCAGAAGGATATGTTACTATCCCTAAGGCACTGAACATTTATCATTATCAACTGAAGAAGACTAAATACAATTCAGAGTATACAACTCAATATGTAATAAAATAGTTAAGGTAAAAAATTTGTCGATAATAACCTAATAATCATATAAATATTTGAATGCGGGTTGTTTAATTAAAATGACAATGTAGAAACATGATGGTTTACATTAAGCTTTACTTAATAAAATATTTCAGTAAATGTTAATGAAAATAATAAACTCAAGAACATGAGAAATAATAATAAAAGATAAAACGACTTTTATCATAACCTTAGATTTAAACTTTACTATAGAAGAAATATAAAGTAAAGACTATGCTAAGAAATGATCTTGAAAAAGGAATGTTTATAAATTCGAAATATATAGCAAATTATAATACAAATAATTGGAATACATTAAATAGTGGCTGACAATGGAAACAATGATGCTCTTTTGGGAACCTACAAGCTTTCAGTCAGTTACGATCAACATAGGATCCGACACAACTGTACATCGGATGCAGTTGATACATAAAGACTGCAAGCAAAAATATCAATCAATAAAATTGATGAAAGCTATGAATTAAGTGGAAACAAAGATCAATGCTCCAGCTTGAAGTTTCTAATTGAGATCACCGTTACTTGTAGTACTTAGACTGGAAACAAGAAATCTTTGATCGTTAAATTTCGACGTTTAGTTGTGCAACCTAAGTAGTTTGAAAATAAACCAAGTCTCCTCTAGGTACAGAGACAGTTTTAATCAAACTCAATCACTTAAATGTCAAAATAAGGAACACCTTCACTGGCAAACTAAACTTTTTGAAACGTTATAGTTCCCGCGGTTGATAACCAAGCCGAATGGCTCCAAAGGCAAGCAGAAGATTTAAAATAATGTTACGTCCCAACAGGATCATATAACGATAAATAATCATGTATACTAGTCATGGGTTCCAAGATATTATATGGATAAAAGTAGCCACTTCTTATACAAAATAAACTGTTAGAATGATCATTTTAAACACTATACGTTAGTAAAATTGTAGTAACGTAAACACCTAAAGGTTTCTCCACTATATTCCCTTGGTCACCATTTACATACATAAACACTTAAACCCAAACAAATTAAAATGAACCAGTATTATTTGTTGAGACAATTTAGTTTAACGGCAAGAAATTAAGACAAATTCATTTAAGGTAAGGAATAATACGAATGCACTAACAGCTGAATGACAGCAGTGTTCAGTTTAAATAACTCAAAACCCCGGGCAACAGCCCAGCATAGTCATCATCATCACCAGGTGACTGAGTGATTTAGATTATGAATACTTTTCATAACCAAAGAAATCAAATATGAATTCACATTTTTTCTAGACAAAAAAAACTACTCACGTATGGGTTTTATGCAATTCCACAATTTTTTTCAACAATTGGGGTGTAGGTGATGGTACAAATTCAAATTCATTTAAATAATCTAACCCAATATGTTTATCCGGATCAAAATCGCCTAATTCTGCCTGTACCATAAATGAACCTAATAATGCTTGTGTAACCCATGAACAAGGAAGTTTCCCAGTGTAAATATCTTGTCGAATTTGTAAAGTAAGCTGATAGCGTGTCAACTCTTCTTGCAACAAGGATGGCTCAGGAGGGTAAAATTTAACTTGGAAATAAAATAACCGTTGCTCGTTATCTAATGAAAAAAAGTTGCAAAAAATATTAGGATGTATACATGTGGATATGAAACTACAAAACAAATACAGTATCCCATTAATTAAATAAATCATACAGTAAGTTTGGTCCTTTATTCGCTGAATGATAATTAAGCCATATAACCGTGATATTACATAACATTTCAATGGAAACAACTCAATCCAAAGCGAAAATATTACCTTATCATCATATAAAATACAATCGTACTACTAAATAGCAGTAATTAAATATTTCTAAATCAGTTCCTATGAGCCCCTGATAACCTCGGTTAGAAAATGAGTAAAATGGTTGTCTTTTGCTGATACAAAACGTATCACGTGGCGTGAGCCAAACGAATGCTTTCCAAAAATCATAAAATGTGAAAGTTTTATTTGTGGCTTGCTTACTTAATTACACCTGTTATCCCTAGTGGAGAAGCATAGCCCGCCCAACAGGATTCTCTAACCAACTCTGTTCTGGGCAATCCTTACCAATAGTTTTGACTTGCTATCCATACCTTTGATGCCTGCCTCCAATGTTCGACGCAATGCGCCCCTCGGTCTTCCTTTTTTCTTTTTTTTAGTGATCCCACGTTTAGCGCTTACCTCGTGGTGCAATCCGATGATTTCCGCAACGTTTGTCTTATGCACCCACAACATCTTTTCCTAATTTCCTCTTCATTTGGAATCTAGTTTGTTCTCTCCCATAGTAGGCTGTTGCTAATGGTATCCGGCCAACAGACGTTGAGTATCTTGAGCGGACAATCGTTTATCAATACTTGCACTTCTTTATGATGGTTGTAGTAGTTCTCCAAGTTCCAACTCCGTACAGTAGAACTGTCTTGACGCTCGTATTGAAAATTCTAACTTTGATATTGGTTGACAGTTATTTTGAGTTCTATATGTTCTTCAACTGTAGGAATGCTGCCGTTGCTTCGCTAGTCCTTTCCCTTAGGTCTGCATCAGATCCATAACCTTCATCGATGATGCTGATCACGTACGTGAAAGTTCCCACCTCATGCAGAGTTTCTCCATCAAGTGTGATTAAATTAGTGTTCTCCATGTTGTATTTGAGGATCTTGCTTTTTCCCTTGTGTATGTTGAGGCCTACTGCTGCAGAGGCTACTGCTACACTGGCTGTGTATGGGATAGAAGAGCCAGGTCATTTACGAAGCCCAAATCGTCTAGTTGCATCCAAGCTGCCGATTGTATTCCGTGCTTCCCTTGACATGTGGAGGTCTTCATAATCCAGTCAACCATCAAAAGGAAGAGAGTAAGTAGCTTTGTCGAACTCGGTCCTTACTGGGAATGCGTCTGTCGACTGTCCTCCATGCACGACTCTGCAGTGTGGTCCGTCATATGAATTCCGTATGATATTGACTATCTCAGGTACACCATTATGTCGAAGAAGGTTCCACAAGGTTCTTCTATCCACACTGTCAAGCACCTCATAGTCAAGGAAGTTGATGTATAGTGACGAATTCCATACAATTGGTTGTTCAACGACGATCCGTAATGTCGCGATTCAGTCTGTACACGACTGATCTTACGTAACCCGATCTGTTGATATTGAAGTTGGGCGTCTACTGAATCTTTCATCAGGTTCAGGAACACTATGCTGAAAACTTACCCTGATACCGATAGTAGTGTGGTGTGTGCTACTATTGTCAACAGATATAAGTAGTATGCCACCAATCGAAAGTGAAATGCATGGAACAGAAGATCAAAGAAAAGAGAACGAGAACAAAGAATGCATGGTGTGGAAACGAAAGAACAATGAAGTCTGAGACGATTAATTGATATTTTGCAAATGAAGTATTTACAGTATGGTCCTCAGATTTTACTAAGATGTTCTATAATTTTGTGTTTTCAAATACATTCGGTTGTCCCCGCATATGTTCTTGTTCACTACAGTAGTATGGTGCCTCTGTAATTTTCACATTCGCTTTCCTTTCTTTGGTATCTTGATAGGTTATCCTTTTCTCCAGTCTGTCGGCACTTGTTCCTCCTCCTAAATCTTCCTGAACAGAACTTGGATCATGTTCGTAATTGCTTCCATGTCTGACTCCAGTGCTTTAGCTGGTATATTGTCAGGACCTGCTGCTTCCCCACAATTGATTTGTTGGTAACCATCGTGATTTCTTCGATCGTTGGTGGAGTGATATCTATGGGAAGGTTTATAGGTGCCGATGGATTCAGTGGAACTGGCTTATTCAATAGTTCCTCAAAGTGATCTACCCATCTTTCACTTTGTTCCTGAGTCTCAGTGATTGGCTTGCCTTCTTTGTTCTTGACTGGTCTCTGGTTTACTATATTTCCCTGATAGTTTCTTCGTTGTGTCATATAGTTGTTTCATATTTCCTTCTGCAGCTTTATCCGCAGTCGTTGCTAGGTCTTCTGTGCATTTCTGCTTGTCAGCTCTAATATTGCTCTCCACTTTCATGTTTGATTGTGTTTGTGCGCTGAATTTCTCTGCTCTTGTTCGGCTGTTGTCAATTAATGTCTTCCTGTTCTTCCTTTCTTGAATCTTGTCCAGGATTTCAATGGAGATCCATTTCTTGTGATGATGATTCTTTCGGTCCAGGACCTCCTGACACGTCAAAATTAGTGCTTCTTCGGTCTTTTTCCAATTATCCTTCATAGTAGTTTCTTCTATGAGTCGATCTTGTAATGCTTGAAACTCGTTGCTGAGAACTATCTTGAATTCGTTGAGCTTGTCAGCGTCTCGAAGAAAGTCTGCATTGAATCTTTGTAATGCTGTTTACCCAGTTGTCCAGTGCTTCTTTAGCTTCAGATTCATCTTGGCAAACACCAGTTAGTGGTGATCTGAAGCTATGTCATCTCTCTTGATTCTCACGTCTTCCATTGACCTTCTGAATTTTCTAGTGATGCAAATATGATCGATTTGATTCCCTATAGTGTGTCCCGGTGATACCCATGTAGCTTTGTGTATGTGTTTGCGGGGGAATATAGTGCCATATATAACCACTTTGTTGAATGCACATAAAATTACAAATCTGTCACCATCCTCGTTCCTTTCTGCTGGTCCATGTCGTCTCATGATATCTTCATAACCGATGTTGTCCATTCCGACTTTGGCGTTTAGGTCTCCCATAAGGATGGTCAGGTCCTTTCCTGAGCACTTGGCTATGATTGGTTGTCGCCTCCATGAGACTGATTTTTATCGTCTTCATTGCCATCATTGATGGGTGCGTAACGTTGGATAACATTTAGTGTGACTTCCTCCCTCTTTGTTTTGAAGGATGCCTTGATGATTCTGAGTCTATGAGATTCCCAAAGGCTGTGATATTGCATCTTAACATTGTCGAAGCAATGGCTATACATCTGGAAAAACAAGAACTGTGTGTCCAAAAGAAAACGGTACAACCACTTTTTCTACCATGGTCATAATGTCTCATAATTATCTTCCTTCTTCGTACTTTTTTCCTTCACAGTCATCTGCTTCCTCTTCTATCTTCTCCATAGACACTTTACCCCCAACTGGTTTATTTCTGTTTCTGGGATCCTCATGATTACATTCGTCTCAATTTTAATATTTTGTCTTACTATACTAAGCCATCCTTTCTTAATTATAATTTCCTATTTATCTTCACGACTGATATTTAAGTCCTTAACAATAAACTATTGTTAGTTTCCATGATAAAGAAAAAATGTTTTGATACCTTTGTTTATTCTACCCCACTGTTACCATGTTTAACAGAATTTTATTATTATTATTATTATTATTATTATTATTATTATTATTATTGTGATTATTATCATCCCGAAAAGCAAGTATATATATTTGCGATTGCACAGCTTTTAAAATGAATTCGCCGGAAAGAGAACTCTTCGCTGAACTACTCTTTCTGATTTTATGCCTCAATGGGTATATTCTGTTTACTCAGAAATAAATAAGCATAAAAGCGACGAACAATTGATCATTAAATAATGGACAACAGAGTAATATTAGTTATTTATTTATTTATTTTAACCCATAGATATTGGTACAAGGAGGCTATATACGTGTGGCCATGTGAGAGCATTCCGAGTAATATTTGAGATTTAGGTAATTAATTTGTACAAAGCCAATCTAAATAAAATCATCCAAAACTTAAAACTGCAACATACAGTTAGTCATGAAATGAAAAAGTTAAGGAAATGAGGTGAAGGAAGTTTTCTCTTTGATGACAGTCTTTACTAAAGCTGTATCTATTAGAAAATACGATTTAAAGCTTTTCAAAATAGAATCAACTAGCAATATACAAATAAAAAGCGACCAATGTGTAAAAGATTGCTGGAATACAACTTACCTCGCAACTGTTTTCCAATTTTGGTTTGTAAATCCAGCCAAAACTGAAAAAAGGGAGATATATATATCACGCTAGTTATTCATAATACTTCAAAACATTTCGACGAAATCGTGATCAAATCAATTTCGTTTATCTAGTTTGAACAGTAACTATAGGTCTTATCAGTTTTCTAACAGACAAACCAGATTGGTAATGAAAAACAGACCTCGGATTTCAGTTATAGATGGTCGTGCCTACACAAATGAATGCAATATCGACATTATAGCACTTAATATAGTAAAAATTTCAAGCTAATGAGTTTTCTATTACAAGAAATGAGTTAAAGAATTATGAAACAAAAGCATAGTTGCAGATATCTAGTGATATTACTACTGGTACTAAAAACAAGATAAAAATGGTTTTAGTACACAGCAATCAAGGAATATTATTTGGCACTACAAACAAGTCACCTAACCAAATAATTTACCGTGGGCGATTTGCGGGCTTGGCTGCTATAAGATACTAATACTGATTAACATTTGTTGTGAACACTTGAGGTCTTGTTTACAAAGATTGGTTATTTATTGATACAATGGTATATATATAATTACTAAAAAACTTACCCATGTACGTATTTTGTTACTGACGAACGTCAGTCCAAAGTAGTCGGCTTCATAAAGATCTAAGTTCTGACACACCTGATCGAAAAGAACTTGACCAATATCATCACGACTCAACTGGAAAACAAGCTCCTCACCATCAAGCATAATAACGCAAACTGATGTAGAACTATCAGACGGCTTGGTAATTTGTGACACATGAGCTTTCGGCTTGCGTCGCCTAAAAGAAGCGAATAACTTTGATAATACGTTTTTCGTTGGCGAAACCTCAGGTAGATTTTGGTGAGGTACGAGTTCATGCTGGCCTTGTCCGAATTCAGGATTCCAAAATCCCCGCCCACTCCCAACAAATGCATTGGAATGTCCATCATCTAGCAAGCGTTGTTCGTAACTCGAATAGGATTCAGAGTGTAGATTTGTGGGTAAACCCATGGAAGATTCTCGACGTTCCTCAGAACGACCATTAGAAATGGGAATGCTGCCTGAAAGAGGAGAAGGTGGTACTGAGCCGTCATAACGAATAGAACCAGACACTCCACTTTCCTCATCTTGATGATATGGTACTTGATTTTGAAAAATTCGAGAACCTGTGCGACTTCTGTACTGATTCTCATTGTCACTGACATGACTATGGATACTTTCTTGATATTGATCGACAGAATATTTGTGTTCCATACCAGCCATATTCGACACATTTTCATGTCTCGGTGGTTTTTTCTTCGACCTATGTCGTTCTGCTTTTTCGTTTGGGTATGTCTTTTCTACACTATCCCTATAAACAACTCGACTTGAAGAGTAAGGTCTTCTGGTAGCATTAAAGTCAGAAAAATCTTCAGTGGTCTCGGCATCATGACAGCCGTTATCTTGGTTATCATTTTCATATCTGCTGTCCGAAAATTGATTGAGGAAGCGACTAGCAGTTTGATGAGTAACCTCATAATCTCGACTCTTCTTTTTTCGATGGACTTTCTCTCCGCGCTCCCTTTTATGTCCCTGTACATCCTCCATCATAGTATTCTCGTTGGTGGCATATAAGTTTAAAAGCAGTCTGTCATGAAGAAAAAAAGTTACTTCATGAAGACATGTAGTTCGAAAATTCGCCAATAAAAAATGAACGACTTAACACAATTCGGGGAGACAGGAACCATGATATGAGCCAAGACAAGCTGAATGAATCAGAAGTAACTACGGTTTTGGATAGGTCTAAACTGGCAAGGACAACTGAAAGTGATGCAACAGACAAGAATGATTTCTAATGATAAAATTATTTTGATAAATATATCTACGAATCAAAATCGGATTGAGCACTACCGTTAACTGGCATAATAGTCGGTATCATCCATCACATTGATCCAAAAAATTCATACTGGCTAGCTATATAAGAGCACTAGCATTTGATATAATTATGCTTTACGAGTAGCTCAACTTTTAACAGCTCGAAAGTTTATAAAAAATACCATCTGAAATTTGGTCCCCTCCCCTTACTCTAAGTGAACAAATCCAGTAAAAGGAGTACAAGAGTATAGCCGAAAGATCCATACATAGATACTTATTTTACAAGGATTGACATGATGCACTTCGGACCTACTTTAAAATGATAAGGTAACCAGTGCATTGAACTAAGCATAGTGGGTATAAACTTTGGTTGAGTAATCAAAGCATATAAAGCAATGTTTAAACACTTGTCAGCACAAAAACCCTTAATCCATGGATGCCTGAAATGATGAGAAACAATACAATTGGATATTTCTCCTCATTACATTTTAACGATACGTGGACAACCAAAAGACTCCCTTATAATACAGTGAAATCGGGTGTTAAAACATTTATTATCCTGACATAAATGGGCATGATCGCTAACAGTCAACCTATGTCGAATTCGCTAGGACAACTAAGTTTGCTGTAAAAAAAGTATAACTGTTAAGGAACGGTGGTACAGTGGCACATAAAAAGAGGGTTAACACTGGTCCGTCGACGAAATCATTATTCTAGGTATCCATAGATGAACAGACATGATTATCAATACTGTATATATTACTGTCTATGAAAACTCGCACATCCAAGCTATAAAACCGAGTTCCCAACGATGGATCGTAATGATGCTTTTTTATCTTAGCCATTTAAGAAGCTAATCTGTCATTTCAAATGGAGCTTCACACTTAAGTGACTACGAATAAGAAGAAATTATACCACCTAATTGGACTCACTCAGAATGGTAAGCGCACACAAAAATTTAACCTAGGCATTGGTGCATTCCAACAACGACGGTCGATTTTCTCATAACAAACCGTTTGTGTTACGATTCTGTTATTCACCTCCATAAACTTGACCCATGAATTTAATTTGTGATGAAAAACAATATATATTTTACATCATAAAATAGTGTGTTTTACAAACCCAAATAAATTCCTCTTGAATTCTGAATTCCTAATGTTGGGAATAAATGGTTCAAATTGGTTCGAATAGTTGTGGATAGAATAGAAGAAGCTTTCGCTTAACGGGCTTCCGTGTCTAGTAGCAGTGGATCACAGTACTTTCAGGCAGGAACGATAATAGAGGAAAAAGAAATCGGTAAATCATAGTAAGATATTATCCCTAGTCCTTAAGAATAGGTCAAGTTTCCTCTTGAAGGACTCCCGGGAAGTCGCTTGGACTTGCTCAGCCGGCAGGGAATTCCAGCATTTAACAACTCTCAGGGAGTAGAAGTTGTGTCTCTAGTTTCTGGGTGTTACTCCTTAGGTTTGTGTTGGAGCTAAACTTAAGCAGGTGTTTAAGGGGATGTCCGTAAATGATAAGGATACTGTAATCTATTAGAAGACCACTTCTAAGACGCTTATGCTCTAATGAGTAAAGGTTTTTGATTGAAGACTCTCTTCATAAGGCTTGGATTTGAGTCCTCGGACTGATTTCGTGGCTCGCCGTTGTATACGTTGCAGAGTGTCCCTATCCTTTTAAAGTGAGAGAGGAAAAACTATGTTTCCGTATTTTAAATTGGGACGAATGTCTCACATGGATTACCTTACACGTTGAAGTGTTAAAGGTAAATCCATTGTCGTCTGCCCAACTTTGAAGTCCAGTCAGATCCTCCTGAAGTGCCTGTATATCGTCTTGGTTACGTATTTCTCTCTGAAGTTTCACATCACCAGCAAAAAGCAATAAGTTGGGCGATACCTTTTGTGGTAGGTCGTTCATATAAATCAGGAAAAGAAGGGGTCCTAGTACTCAACCCTGGGAGACCCTACTAGCACATTACATGGCCTGAGAGAAAGTGAAGTTAACCCTGACCTTAAAGTGTCGAATTTTTTAGATATGAAGTGGGTCAGTTAATTAGGGGTGATTTGATGCCCAATCTTTGAGTTTATTGATAAGATATATATGGTTGACCCTATTAAAAGCTTTTGAAAAGTCAAGGTAAATGACGTCAATCTTCCCCTTGCGATCACGGATGGCTATCCATCTGTCCACCTCAATTAGCAGGTTGGTTATTCAAGAGTGACCTTTCCTTGAACCATACTGTTGGGTGAAAATAAGATTAAGGATAATAAATAGTCGTGTATACAGTCGGATTGATATGTGATGGTATAGAGAGAAGGCCACTTGTCGGTAGCTTGAAGGTTCGCTGCGTCGACCACTTTTGACAATTGGTGTGATATAAGCCCGCTTCCAAATTTCCGAGAAGTTGCCTCGGCTTAACGAGTGTGGGAACATCACGCTGAGTGGTGTTGCCAGGATAGAAGCTGATACCCTCAGTATAGCAGAATGAATCATATCCGGGCCAGGAGAAGTATCTTTTCTTAGGTGCTGCAGTTTCCGGCACACAAATTCAGCGCTCACGTTCACTTCGGAAAGTCCTGTGCAGTTGCAGACGAAGCTCTCATCAGTATAGTTAACGTGGGTAGGTTGAAATGTTCCAGAATATTGTTCAGCCAAAAGGTTAGCGGCGTCACCATCGTCATTGGTCGGGCCATTAGAACCCAGCAGTTGGGAAACTTCAGTTTCGGTTTGTCGAAGAAGCTGCGTAACGGAATGAGTTTTTCGGATCGAAGACAAGTTTATCGATAAGCTTTATCTGGTAGTGAAACCTGTCTTCTCTTATTGCCTTTGTGCATATGTTCCTTATATGTTTGCATTGCCTGTACGCACCGTCGTTGTCAGTTCGTTTGTATTCCGCCAAACAGTGCCCTTTGCGGCTTAGCAAACGAAAAGTGCGGTTCTTGATGATTGTAGGCTGCCTGTAGCTATTAGGGACCATTTGAGGAACTGACTACTTTGTAGCACATAAGAGCGTGTGCAGTAAAAAGTCACGATGAGCATCCACAACAAGTTGAGTGTGAACACCCCAATCCACCTGTTGTAGATAGTCCTGTAGAGCTGACACATTCAACCGTTGAAACTCCAGGGTCTGTTGTTGATGAAATGTCCTTCTTGGCTAGTCTCGTCACTTGTTGAGTCAGTATGTTGTAAGCTTCAAGGATTGCTTGATGAATTTCCGGTGCGTTCAGGTTGGGGACCATGTTGCTTGGAGGTCGAAGCGAGTTTCCCATTCCTAGGCTCTTCGATGATCGGACGGACATTCTTGGGTGTAGTCTTTGTGGCCAAATCACCAAATGACTTCCCTACAATTCTTGGGACGTTCAGCTTCTCGGATTGTGACGCCTTGTTCTTTCTAACTTTAGTACCGAGACTTCAGTCACCTACAGATATTTTGGGAACCATCATTGCATTTAGGAGCTCTGTGCTAGGAGACCCAAGTCTGATGAGGGAGTCTATTACCGTCGACTTTATGATAGTGCTGAGTTTAAACATGCCATCACTGGTGTTTTTACATACTCCATCGATAGCGGCACTGTCGAGATCCCACGTCTCGTCTTCATTGCGAGTCCTTGTTTATCTACCCGCTTCATGACTGTCTTTTTTCAAGTTTGCCGACAACTTATTCTTCAGACCTGTCAATAGGACAGCGATATTGGTCAACAAAACTTCAGCAACCGTGTTGCACATGACACATACCCACCCATGATCCGACTTACTGAGTCTTCTGTAAGCAGTAGCTGTGAGATCTCTGCACGCCTCATGGACCAACCTTTGCAGTTGTTGCACTGGATGTCAGATGTAACAGCGAAACAGCAACCAGGTCGTTCGCACAAATTTTTCATGGCTATATTTACATCAAATATTTTATGGATGCTAGCAAAAGCCTAAGACCGTAAAAAAACAGCATAATAAAAACGGACAACAATGGATGAAAATGGATTACGATAAACTGAATTTAGCCTTTACATGAAAAACTGAAAAAACCGAATATTAAACTGAGGCAAAACCACAGTTAACTAATAAGTTGGGTAAAACTCAGAAAAAGTAATCCACCGAACGTATAGCTCAGAATAGATTCTTTAGATCGGAAATGGCACTTTTAGGAACACAGCAAAAGTTTGAGAAATGCAAATCACGTTAAAACTGCACTTCCTGTTCGATAGAGTTGTTCAAATGCACCAGGAGCTGAAAAGAGATATTTTATCGATGTTCCTGTGGACAGTCATGTGATAGTGGGATACGGAAACTATGTGATTATAGAAGTTTAGAACTGCCGAATAAATTCTGTGTTTAACAACGCTGTAGTCTGTAACTGATATGTAACTGAGAATCTCAAACCCGTTCAAACAAGAAGTAGGGGATGAGTGGGTTTGAAGGTTCAATCGGAAGACAACCTGTGTCTATTATTACACAATTTAAGCTAAGTAGCTGTTATGGAAGATGCGTAGTACAGGATAGACAATCGCGACTTGGCGAAAATCCATGACAGAGCGCCTTTAGCTAGGGTGTGAACAGCAAAATCAACAGGGCAAGCATCAATTTTAAGACTTGCAGAACTACTCCTGGTGTTTATATTCACTGCTATGTATTACAATAAGTTAGTACTCCGTAAGCATCCTACCTAACGTTTCATTTATCTTTCATAAATTCGTAGCGGCAAATAAAATCCTCTAAATAAATAGTTCTGTAGGTCTCAAACGTTGATGCTGATTTCACTAGTTTTACTAAACACATCCTACCTGAAGGTGCACGGTCACTTATCCGCACCGGATCATGAGTTTTTATGTCATGCTACCCATCCCTTGTAACAACTTGCCAGCCTAGATCAAACGTATCTCTACACTCCAGCAACCTTCCAGACACTCCATCAGACATATTTACAGCTGTAAACAAGTCTTCGAAATAAATAATTTCAAAGTCCTTGATATCTTAAGCTAATATATCTTCAAAGCTCTTCATTTCTGACTTCCGATTTGACTGTGTTGATATCCTACAAGCACAAAGGTGTTACGGACGAAAACATCGTTAAATCCTATGGGATTCCTGTATTTCTAAGCACCCTCTCCTTTAAAATATCGGGCATATTCAAAAGTATGAAGTGTGCTTAAGAAAAAAATTTGGTTGCTATCTACTTGAATGTCAGGACAACCACTTCTATGAAGTTGCGACCTATGTTCAATTACTTCAGCTATTGTATTGTTTATTCTGCTACTGCTTAAAAGTGTTCTCACATTAAAATGAATTACAAATTCCATGATACACGAAATTCAATGTCGGATCCCAAGAGGCAAACAGAGAAGAATGATAAGCCTTCGATCTCTAAGGTGGTAATTGATGGACACAAATAAGAGATGGGTCATTATTAAAATTAACTCGATATGCATGTACATCAAAATTAGAAGGGACACTTCAGCAAATGTTCCAAAAAAGCGGCTTTTGAGATCATGAAAATTACTTTCTTGGGATCCAACCTATGTTCGTAAGTTATTCACAGAGTTTAGAATAGTAAAACAGCTGTAATATCGAACTGAGTCGCTCCGCAATATGTTCTAGTGTCCCTTACTGTGAATAAACTCCGGCTATACGAAGTTGAGTACAGGACAAACTACTTAACAGTGCCTGTACTTCACGTCCTTTACTTTCACATAACATTACTCGGATTACTTTTGGCTGTATAAAATACAGCCAAAAATATTACCCGACAGTCTCAAATTTTTGACGTTCGCTTTAAAACCTTCGATAAATAAACGATCGAAATGCTAGCCATATGTAATTCTGTTCAGTTTTTGATATCTGATGATCCGTATCTAGTTTTTTATTCCAATAAATCCCAGTCATTTTTTACTTATTTTCGATATGTTTGATATTCCTTTTTTACGTCCTCTTATTTCATAGTTATCTCTCACGCCTGTTATCTAAGAACTGCTGTAAATTTCATCAAAATTTGCAGTGAAACCTTAAAGTGTGTCATGAAAGACTTAATATGATATGAGGCGGAAATTTTTGGTTGCTAGCCAGTATATTGTGTTCAGAACAGAATTCAACCTGCTTTCAGGATTAGGTTTGAATTAGCCTAAATGACCAGCATTATTGTTTTACTGTGGGAATAGCATCCCGGTTTGTGTTGCTACATGACTATACACAAATTGTATTGCTTCTCCGGCTAACTGTGATAAAGATCTTATAAATGAGAACAAAATTTAGGGCTTATTGCGTAATAATTTATGTGTCGTATTCAATTAGACGGTTTCTTGGTATTCGGATGGTACAGGTTTTTTTTTGCAATTTTGCGTTCCTTGATCTGACCAATTTTACCTCGAACAGTTGGTGATTTTCCTGTGCGATGAATTTATGCTATCAAAGTTAAACGTATGCCTCAATACCTAAAGCAATCAAGATTTCATGTACTAAATATATTTGTTAGTTTATTCTTGACACTCATTTTACTATTCGCCTCTTCTTCGTAGTCATCTACCTTCTTGTTGCTCGTTGATCACTGATAAATATCAGCCAAAAAGTTAAAGGGGTGGTCAAATCGCCCGAAAAATAACTGTACCAGTCCAAAAGATGCAGTATTTTATCGGTTGAAGCTGCAGAATAAGTACGATAAATACATAGCATCGAAAAAGGACAGGCCTTTTTACAGTGAGCGGTACACGTTTAGTAAACATTACTAGTGACAAAATGATGAGTTGTTGGTATGAACAATGATGCACCAATCGATACAATACGTACAATCATCAGCAAGCATCTGATAGGCTATTCATCCTTGAACACCAAACGCAGGATTTAGGTTTTTGAGCGGACAAAAATTCGTTAGTAGGAGGGAAGCTAGAAGCATATTAAAAGGCTGACGACGTGGGATGGCAAAAATGGTGAGTTATGGTTTCTCACGCACATGCTACGTGTTGTCGAGTATTTTGGATATCTTATTTATCAGCTACTAGCAGTACTTTTGCCATCATACGTCAGTCTTTGTAATGTTTGTTCTTACTGAATAGCATCTATCCCTGTTAATTTGTAATTTAGAGTAGTTGCTCTTCACTACCTGGGTGAATGTTGAGTCACTTTGATGTGGCTATTTGTGACAATGGAAACTCGAGTAAGTGAATTTTACAGTTTATCAAATCAGAGGTAGACAATAGTCAGATTTTCTAACTAAAGGTGAGCTCTAAATACCTCTGACATTTAATTCACCAGCAATGGATTTTGATGAACATGGATGTCTGGTAATTGTTTAGTCAATGAACGTTGAAGAATTTTCGTGTTTTTGAACTTTATATAAATTGCTAATATACAGTGATTAGCCGTCATAACAATCATAAGTATCAATATTTTTCAGGGAACTGACATATTGTTGTGTAATTTAATAATAACAGTGTGTTCCATGAAGCTTGCCAGTTTACTGGAGAGATCACATTGATACAGAAGATACAGTATTCACTTTAGTAGGCTACTCAGGTAGGTTGATATTTTATGAGCTGACTTGAAGCCACCGCCTTCACTTGCAAAAAAGTGGTGTCAGGGTTTGGACAACTTAAAAAGTGTTTGGGAAAGTGGTAAGGGTGAATGTAGCATTTTGTTGTAAAGAAAATTGAAAGCGTTTATAAAGAACTTGACCTAATACTGTTGAATCGTCTCCTTAGACTAACTGTCGATCACAATATTGCAGATTAAATGAGTGCTAAATTACAGGGATATGAATCATACAAACAGTAATTTATCTGAGAAAAAATTACAGGAGTTATAAATGACCCTGATAGTCTTTTCTTTCTTGTTTCTGATTATACACAGTTCTTGTGTATAACATCACAGTAAGTGTCACGCTAATTAGTGGTATATTTTTCATAAGCGAAACAATGCATTTTTGCTTTAGAAGTGGTAACTGAACTATATTGTTAGTGAATACGAATTTATGATGTGTGTTATAGAGGTTGCAAATAAATATCTATAAAGAGAGTCTGCAATCATTAACCGACTTATAAACAAAGATCTATTGCATATTGATAGGTAATATCTAAATATTGCTTTTCAATGATAACGTTATTGTATGTAAACTATGAATTGCTGATAGTATTATGAACACTGTAATAAGAATTTTTTTCAAATTTCGTAGTAAAATTGGTCTTTCATACCTTTTGAAATTCATTTAGCTCACAATCAAATTCAATTCAGCTTCCGAAACGCCTGTTCAGTATTATATGTTGAAACGCCTCGCTTACACCGACTGAGATATCTCTTGAACATGAAATACTCCATGCGGCACTGAGTAATCACAAAACAAAACGAATGGGTAATCCTCACAATGGTACCTTGCTAACTGCATAAAGTATTACTAACGTTCAAGGTGGAAGCCTGAAACTTATCGGTTATTTGACATTTCGTCATAAACTTCACATAAGATAGCGATCTGAAAAACGTCTGCCGGGTGGATTTAAACACAACGTTTCCACTTAAACCTACATGTAGTTATGTATCGAAACCGTAAAACAACCGAATATACATGTCTTAATGGTCATAAATCAATTATTTCACTACCATCGGACGACTAGATCATATATTCTAAATTATGAAAGCATAACCGAGCTACTGATTAGAATTTTTCGAACCGTCACACAACGTAATTTTTATTCAATAAGAACTTATAAACTTGTTTATTCGTGTGATTTATTATCAATATAATTTGTGTTTGTTTTTCTATTATAACGATTGTTGTCAGTGACTAGAAAATCAGCCAACTCACTTTCAAACCTCTGTTTAATTAAGAGTGATGAATTTGAGGTAATTCGTTGGTGATCTTAAATGTTAACTCACCGCTTTCATAACGCTTAAATTAATTAGCACACTACTTCGACATCTAATTTTTCTGTCATGGTAATTGATCTTTATTGCCTATGACAAAATGGATATAAATTGTAATAGAACATATTTGCTTATCATTTAAGGTAGCCTTTGATTAAGATATTACAGATAAGACATCAAAGAAGCTAAAACCACTTTAACCAAGTTTTTTCCTGGAATCGGTTTGTTCACTTCATGTTTCTGGGACTTAACTCATTCATTTACCCATGTAATTATCACTATCACTCCTAATCTAATAGACATGCCTGTATGATCTTAGTATGTTTAATCAAAAAGATGGACATATCTGATGATAGGAAACGTATTTTAACATTTTGTGGTTAGGTCATTGCCGAACGCCGTTAATTTAAATAAGTTTTAAAGCCTGAAGAGATTATAAATGAATACTCTTAGCAAACGTACTAAAATAAGTTTTTCGAACTGTTTAGGGCTGTTTTGTTTTCAGATAAGGCCATTTTTATTTTGATACAATGAGATATTTTTTAAATAAACGCTAACTGGATGCCATTTTTAAATCAAATTATTCAAGGAATGAGACGGAAAACAGTTTTAATAAGTAAAATGCAGACCTATGATCGTCAGATAGATTCATTTTCTTGTGTAATATGTTTGCTAACATAATGCTCTAGTAGATTTTTTTAATAATAATTTTTCAAGTTAGCAGTGCGGTGATTCTTACCAGGTAAATTAACTGTGTAATTCTGCTGTATATTCAAAGCCATAAAATATTTTCCTGAAATAGAATGAATTTTTATGTGTATATCTGTGTGTTTGGCTTTAAATTACAATGTATTTGAACTAGTCACACTGTTTTGGCGTCCATTTTTTAAACTCAAGCATTCCAGTAGTTTGGCCTCCGCGTTTTCAAAGGAAGATCAATAAGTATGGATATTTTAAGGTTGGTTGTAAACATAAGGTTACTCCAAGAGGAAACGCCTTAGAAATCTATGGGTTTTCAAACTTTTAAATGTTTTGTAAGCGTTTGTTTGAATAAGACTGCTGACTTTGATGAACTGATAATATTCATGGCTTGCTTTATTCCGGTCAAGTCGATTTTCTGACAGACCACATGAGTTGAAAATAGCTTGATCAAGGGCTTTGAAAATGTAATTTTTAAACAATATAAGAGCATTTGGAATGTTTTGTGTAGTGAAGTCTAAATTATGGATTCACATTCTTACTAAATCATTGCTGAAAAAAGCAACTAAAGAAAATCATCGATATGAACGGTCTGTTATAACAATCTGATGATAAAAGTCCTGCAATGATCAGAAACGTCGTAAATTTTCGTACCTGAAGTTGAATTGCTTCATGATAAATAGATTAAAATTTGAATGTATATACCAAAGTGCTTCGTATTAAACTTTAGCACATTTGAGTATGAATGGCGTAAACTTCCATGCTTCGAGGAACTTATTTGACGTGAAAGAAACATAACTATGAAAAATATTGTTATTAATTTAATGCCGAGACTATATTCCATCGGTATTATTAAGGTAATTACACATTGTTTTTACAAATCACAGATTGAACTTCTTCTCGAATGAAATAGAACGCTGAGTTTTGAAAGAATTTCTTATGATTGACAAATGCTACACTGAAGCTCTTACATTAGCCAAAATATTGACTAATATTTTGCAACACTTGAAAAGGTACTTTGTAGCAAGCACATTCAATTAGACGAAGTTTGGTTTTCAAATGCATCTTTTTGTTAAAGCCAAGCATTAATTATTAGCAAGTCCAGCTAAACACTTAGAAATTCTAATTTTAACATAGGACATCCGGACATATTGATATTATTAGATAATAGATGTACAAATTCATCATTTTTGGGTCATTTCATATGTGAATGAAGTAATGATTAAATATGGCAATGAATTGTGACGACAATTATAAGAATAATTATTGATAACAGTAACATAAAAATGAAAAATTCCTTAGCGTGTATGTCAAAATTTTAGTTTGTACCAACTATACATAAAGTTGTTTTTCTGATGTTTAGCTTGCTACGATTAGTACAGATTTCATAATTTTAGGGAGTTAAATAATATAAAATGCTTGAAATATGTATGGGAGTAAGTTTTTAAACACCTTTATTCATTCAAAACATAATTAGATGATGAAATTCAAGTGGATTGTTAATAAAATATTTCTCGACTAAATAAAACGTCGTACGGTCATTCGTAAAACATGGATGAAATGTTGACAATCAGCTTTATGTTTAACTAACCTAATCTTAATGCCTGTTGCATATTTGTAACTTTGCAGCCACCAAATATGTGTTATTTAAACTTTCAGTTTGCTTAAAGTTTCTTCGAAACAATTCTTCATATTTCTAACTTTTGTTCGCCTTTTGTTGTCAAAAGGGGAATAGAGATTTGAAGTAATGTTTCGACTCGTTAGTCTATTCTAAATGCTTGACATATTGCTAATATTCAACATCTGTTTTTATTATAACTAAGAATTTTGTTGTATTTTGACCGGTAGATAAAGGTTTGTTTGATCTCATCTGAGTTATTTCAACTTCATAGTATCTGTACAAGTAACTATGACCGCGTTTTATTGTAATACATCTTTTCTAAATAATACTGTTCAGAAGTTATATGATGGCAGTGTTTCCTTTGACTCAAAGAAAACAAAAACGTGTTTAGGCTAAATCACGTTATAACAAGAGTGATGCAGAAAGCTGCATTTTTTGTTTCTTTTTACTTATGATTTAACATATATATATTGTTAGTATAAAACTAGTGGTATACGTAAGATACTGAGGTCTTACTCTTTTAATCGCAATATTTTGTTTTACTCATCACTGAACAATACCAATAAATACTTCTATCTTAATTCATTTGGAAATGAATTTCGTGGGGAAGTTCAATTTTGTGAAATAAAATAAACAAAAAATAATCATTTTTTGAAATTAATTTTAACAACAATGATGTTTAACTTATTTTGCTAACTAAATGAATATGATGGTTCAAATTTTGGAACGAAATCTCAATTTTCTCATTAGTCCACGATTAACACACTTTTTGCGTTTGAAAGTTACATTTTTCCAAGTAATTTAAGTATAACCAAACGAGGCCTTTATTCGAAACCATCCTGAATTTAATGGTAAACCCAAAGAGATTTGAGATAGCCGTGTTTTGCGTTTTAGATAATACTGAACTTTGTACACTGTTGTGACATTAAAATGACTAAACCTATTCAAGATGGTATAGATGCTATTCCGTCGATGTCATATGAATGATTGCGAATAATTTATAAGGTATATGTAGCCTTTTTTAATCTTTGAAGGATTCAAAATCGAGCTCATTCGTACTCTGAAAGACTGAAAAAACGACCTGACGACAATCAAGATATTGTATTTTCTTTCTAATTTTTAGAGATAGATTCTCAGTTTGTACAGCGAAACACGTTCGAATAATTCACAGTATGTTTAATCTTAATTATGTGATCTTTAATTAAATCCATTTCTAAATGGTGCGGATTAGACGACACGAATTTCTAAAATACGTTTTCTCGGTAGACTTATCAAAATGATTGGCGCACAAAATTATTGTTGGTTAAACCTCTGAAGTCGTAATACCAGTAAACTAACGAGCAAATGTACGACTTATAGTCACAAAACAACTCCAAACAAAATTAATTTGTGTTGGTAAGCTCTATTTTTAAAGACATTATGTCCGAGACAAGATTGAAGATGAAATATTATCTAGTTAAAACGGTAGCTTTCCTTAATAATTATTTAACCGTGTTAACTTTATTAATAAACGTTAAACTATATTTTTAAGTATAGTCGTCCTCAAACCTGTAGAAGGAAAGTGCAATAAGTGGAAAATAACGGAACAAACGGTTTCCTGTGCGCATATTCTTGGCCCATAGATAACGAAGTATGTTAACGACATATGTCCCCATTTTTAACTCCAGGTATTTTTAGAATAAACAATACCACCTATGACTTTTGTTAGATACTGTAAAAAATTATCCATATACTACAAACTGAGACTGAGTGATGGAGACCTTGAAACGACTTAACCATTTATACACAAAGTTGTATAATACTGTCAGTATTATTTTGGCCGGTCTAAATTCATGGTGTGAGGTTTCGGCCTATAGAATTTAACTCATTTTAGAAGAGGTGAGGTTTAAATTTGACTACTAGTATTCGCCTTCAAGTGTACTTTTGAAGCTATTTCATAATTAATGTTAGATAATCAACAGTTAGCCTAAAATACTGACAACATTACAATGTGAGTGTTTACTGGATATAATCCACATTTAATATCATAACAATAATAATAAAGCACACAGTTTCGATACAATTGTAGGTCAGATTATTATTACCATTACCTTGTTTAAATTATTGTAACGTGTTAACAATAGAATTTTTTTCTCTAAAAGAATGTTACTTATTCTGCCAATCACTCATATGAATACAGACGTTCTTTTGTAACTTGATTAAAATCTGGCTATGTATTACGTATGTAAGTATATATGTCATGCCAAATAGTTTCATTTATAAACTATTATTTTTATCTATAATTAATACAAAATAGTGACACTTCTTTCCTAAAAACACGACTAAACTGAAAAAGCAATATCCTTATCAATAGTTTAAATATCTGGAATTACTACTCAAAAGCATAATATTAAACCAATTTCATTATAATCATTATTTTCAGTAGTACGCGCACTGAATACCGACTTACAAACTTCTCATTTTTATGAAAGATATATCACCTACTTTTAGAATATAAGGTAGTAGTCGAGATCAGACCATGTCAGTCATGTGAAAAGTCATCTATAAATTAAATGTAAAGGAAATTATACCCTGTGCTCTACTGTTTAAGTGTGAGACTCATAGAGAAAACTATTTATTATTAGTATGCTGGTAGAACGGAGTGTGAGTGATTGATACATGAGTTACTTGAAACATCAACAACCAGCCATAGTCTGCTCGTGTATTCATGTGTATTAATACATGTACACACACTCACACCCAGGCAAATGAAACATACATGGACATCAAGAAACAAGTAAACTTGAGATAATACATCACATGGTTTGGTAGAAAATGGATCGATACACGATACGTTTAAGTGCTTTTTTAATTCTACTTCCTATTCGTCTACTTCATCAAGAAATTATGATTTGATTTTATGTGAATGATTGAATATTGATCGACCGTTTTCTTTTATAAAGGAAGGAGTATGATTCTTCAAGTGACAAATATTTGCAATACTGAGAATAAACTACATCCATTTTTTTTGTCATTTATTATTCTCATACCTGATGTAATATGGTGATCTAACAGTCATATGTTAATCGATATACCTTTTGTCTATTCAGTAGAGTATCGTTTGTATGCACTGCCTTCTAAAATGTTCTTATTGTTGTTCTTGTCTAATTATAATAATCAATTTCTTGGTCATAGTAAACTGAATTCATTATAAAGCGTCTAGCATGGCAGCATACAGTACTAAATGTTGACAAAATAGAAAACCACTGTTTCTTTTTGGGGGGTATTTTACATCCAGTTGAAAATGATAAAAATACTATCATTTACACAGTTGGGTGAATGAATTTATGACGTAATTGTATAAGGATGTTATTATTTGAAACTAAAAATACATCAAAGTAGATGGGGAAGCTACTCCTGATAAATTGTTTGAAAGTATGTAACATTAAGCATTTGACATTAAGATCTGATTAGTTAAGAAATCGTGCACACGTAATCGGTAAGCTGACACACTTTAATAATTACCATGGACTTCTAAAAATCTTTTACTAGTTTAAATACATGCTGTAATATTGGATATTAAATATCCAACAGTAATAACATTTTTCATATTATCATGTTCCGAGTATAAAGTGATCCAAGCAAAAATTTGTGGTTATATGGTCAGGAGACAAGAATACGAACATTTAAATTTATATAATTTATCTGTTTCATTGACAGTTTATATCTTTTAAAGGTGTGCTATCGATTTGTTAACATAAAGTCCATCAAAAAATTCTATACTGACCTCTAAAATCTATCCAAGATCTGTAGGTTATGAAATAATGTTGTGTAATGATCGAACGTTTGACCTAAATGCTATAGCCGGTGATATATATATATATATATATATATATATATATATATATATCATATTAAACGTTCGTGAAATTAAGAAATAGTTTTGGTAGTGTACATGATCAGCTAGAATCCCAACTAGCTATTTGAGCTGCTACCGGAGTGTATTATGAGAAGCAGTTAGGTTATTCTTTCGGAAAGAGATATCCATTATGATTCCATAAAGGACAACCTCTACATTTTGTTTGAAAAAAATAGGAAGAGAAATTCATGGACAGTACCATTGAATGTCGTTATTGTTTCAAGTTAAGAAACGTTCTGCATTCGATTGTGGCTTTTGTTGCGATATATTTCATTCCTTTTTCGTTAAAATGTGAAGTGCCTAAGCAGAAATAAAAGGGGAAATTTTAAGACTGTGTAAATCAATGGAACATATAACTTCCTCAGGTTAACAGAATTCAGTGGTTGAAAATATGGAATATTAGGAACCAAAATAGAGACCAATACCATAGATTCATTCACTCTTACATGAACCCCAAATACAAGGCATCAAATTACAAGTACCATTCTTTCTTTGGTTTTCCATTGCTTTTTTTCGGTTCTTCTTTATAATAATTAAAACTGGTTCACTGTTTATTTCTAAGTTCTATACTGGTGTACGTAACTGATGCTCAGTTAGGATAAAAGATTTTATGTTCTGGATAAAACTCTGGTTTCCAAGTAGTGCCAAGTTTTCCATTTCAGTAGGATATTGTAGTTTCTTTAGATATCAATTCATCAACGCTCAGAGTAATTACAGATTGTTTTTGAATAACGCATAATTAGGTTCGAAAAGTATAATGTATGTCTTTCAAATACTCCTTTCCTTTTTAAAATAAATTGATTTTTACTGTTTTAAGCATACTCTAGTCAAAATGAAGTTTGAGGTACATTAGACCGATAAGTATTCTCGTTTGATTAATGATTTTTTTGATGATGAAATGAATACGATTCATAGTATTATAAAATGTAAAACCTAATCAGTTTGGAAATAAACTGTAGTGGTTATGTACTTTGACAATGTTTATGAGTATCCTAACAGTTGTTTCATATAGTCAATATACAATCAGCAGCATTAATGAAGCTTATCAATTAGTGTATTTCCATTAAATTTAGTCAACAAAAATTATTAAAAATTTCAAAAACACCTCTGTTGAAATTGAAACGTAATTATGAGTAGTTATTTGTAGACTGATTTCCGTAATGAATTCTACAAGTTAAAAACAATTCTCATCATCAAGCAATATCAATGAGTAAATTACTGAATAATGGATGACTGTATCATTTTAGTTTGAGGCTGTACGGTATCACACAGTTATCACTGAAAGTGGGATCTACTTCAGGACCTTCTGGCAAGATAACGTACACAAGATATCTAAACAATATTTTTGATGTCAGTCGATTCGCTATATTTCGTGATTCCTATCCCATGTAATCAAGGTATTTTGTACTATTCCTGATTTAATTCAGTTCAAAAGTCAAACCCTACAACGAGAAACTTGAAAACACATCACCAAGATAATCAATCATAAGTATAGGGTAGTTATATATTAAGGTGTTTGTGGACATGTATTATATAAATTCTAATCAAACAATAATAATATGCTAAAGATTGGTTAGAAACCTCTTAAACTTTGATGTGGAGTTACATGGTTCATCATCACTCAACAAATAGTAATAGAATGGAAGCAAAAGTACATTTCAAATCTGGTTGAAATAAGTGTATGAACAGTGACAACTTGATGATGATAAACAACAAAGTAGCATTGGTTACATCAGTTAACCCATCTAATATGACCATATCAAACAGTCTAAAGAGACTCATGTTTTTTTATCCAATTTGCAACTACAATCGTTTCATAATCTAAAAGATAACGCAATCAGTAGACTACTTAGATAATGAATTAGAAATCTGAAGCATGAATATGAATTGTCAGGTGTTGGTGAAATCTAAATACTTCTACTTATTGATGTCAAAACAGGTACTTTTATTACTCATAGTTTGAACTGAACACGACACAACTAATGGTCTCTACTTATGAGCAATTCAACTGTTGTTTATTATGAAATTCATATTTTTCAAGTTAAAGTATCTCACTAGGGATATCAAGAATGTGCTCATAAAACCTAATCTCTATAACGGACTGGATGATATAACAATCAACCTTTTGACTTTAATCTCCAAATCCTGTGATTACATAATTGATACATACAGGAAGTAATATTCGAATCATACTTTATCACCTTATTATCTGACATTGATAATAAACAGGATTCGATTTGATCTGTTATTTTCAAGATTTCATTATAACTGACTTACTTAATAATCTCTCTAAATATTTTGTTTTAGTTCATTTACCCTGACAGTAATAGATTAGCTTACTCAACGATTATTTTTATGTACTACACTAAATTGTGTTATTCTTTAAACAAAATATTGATAAACAGTAAAAGAAATACATTGTTATCAAATGATGAACAAAGAAAATGTTACATAATTGAATTTAAGATATTTTTATTAGAAAAGAACGAACAAACAATTTCTATTAAAAATTGAAAAAAAGTTTTTTCTACAAACAAATAACTATCAGAAGGGGTTTGTGGAGATTTTAGAAATTTCACAGTTTGAAATCATGAGTCAATTGAAGCTAGACCACCATGGAAAACCTGGAAGCACTGGACAACCGTTTCGTCCTAGTATGGAACTCCTCAGCAGGGCGCGTCCACGACCCCGCGCCCCTCGAGATTCGAACCCAGGACCTATCAGCCTCACGCCAAGCGCTTACCCAACTAGACCACTGAGCCGGCATCCAATGGTGTTAATGTCTAACTCCAACCAATCCACGAAGTTTCGCCACCGTAAACCATTGTCTTCAACAAGACTGATAGGTCCTGGGTTCAAATCTCGATGGGGCGGGATCGTGGATGCGCACTACTGGGGAGTCCCATACTAGGACGAAAGGACCATCAAGTGCTTCCAGGTTTTTCATGGTGGTCTAGCTTTGACTGACTCATGATTTCAATCTGTGAAAAAATAACTAACCAACTTGAAAACGAAAAAAATGTTTTTCTTGATTTTTATTTTTTTTTAGAAAATCCAAATATTGATGAATTATTTATTGTTCTAATCAATGATTGTACTTTATCATCGGACTGTCTATAAATGAATCCACTTTCCAAAGTAAAAGATCCAATTACTTTTTTTATGAAAAAAAATACATAGAATATTAAACAATGAAAAAATTCACTTTATCTTATTTAGTCGATAGTGATTCAAATAAAAGTGTGAACAGTTTAGCTAATATTTCCAATTCAAATATTGAAATGGATTTGCCAAAAATTACAGAATTGCATATCATTATTAAAGATTTAAATAAACAGGTATGTTTGTGAATTATTGTAAATTTATCAATTAAATATGTTTTTATAGACAACGCTAAAAGTGATTGGAGATGCAATTATTTTAGATATTAAAAAGAAACTTTTATTCACTCTTGGTGATTTATTAAATGATTCACAAAATATGGGTTTACACCTACCTGATGAACCAAGTCGTAAAGGTAAATTCCTAGAAGAAGAGCGTCTTTTATCGGAGTATATTAGTGGGAAAACGATTATCAGTTTAGAGGTATGAAAAAGGGAATGAAATCAATTGAAAAATTAATTTCTTTTGTTTGTTTTAGTTTATTTACAAACGTCGAACAATTCCACCATTTTATATGTCACCAACATTATTGAGTAAACTGTCGAAGGTATTAATCGCTTTAAATATTTATTGATGTCAATATTTATGCATAGAACTTCATCAAAACATTTTTTCGTTACGTATCTCGTGGAGAATGTCAAAAAGTAGAGAAATTACTGTCTAAAGGATTTGATCCAAATATACACTGTCCAAAGACTGGAGGTAAACTGCTGTTTTTTTGGTCAAACAAAATGTTCTCTATAACGTACCTTCAAATTTTAGAAACTCCATTGACTATAGCTGTTACACGATCAAAACCTCATGAAATGATATCAACATTAATCTCCGGTGGCGCACATCGTGATTTTTATTCACTGGCTGGTTATACACCATTACATAAAGCTGTAACCGTTGGAAATTTTGAAGGGGTCAAGGTAAGTTAATCATGAATGTTTTTAAATGACATGTAATGGTATAAAAGGAATGAATCAAAACATCCTTGATAATAGCAGTTCACTTTCTGCTGTAACACTAGATTTTTAAGCATCAATGGTTTTGTGTGTTCGCAAACTACGAGCTTAAAACAACTCTGTCATAATCACATACTGAGTTCTATTGCACAAACATATATTATAAACTAATGATGAATACTACTAGAACAGCTGAACACTCTGATGCATTTATCTATTCAAGTTTAAGGGCTGGTCTCGAACATTAAAGAAGTTGAGTAAAACTCCTGAAAATTCTGCTAACATTAAACCAGTGATTTGAATTATCTGAAGAATTTAAGTTTCATTACCTAATCTGAAACGACACTACTGTTTGTTGGGGTTAGAATTGATTTTTCTTGTCTATCAAAGTTTATACGTTAGCTTGAGTATAAATCATGTGATCAGTAGTTCATCTCAAAAGTATGATATATGAAATTAGTTGTACTTTTATTTTCATCCACACTTCTAGGATGTGGTCTGTCAAATAATATTCTGAAACGTCAGTCAGTGGCATTTACATGTAATGGCATAAACAAACTAAAGTTGAAAATACGAACTATATTATTCCACTTCAATGAGCCATTCATAAGCAACGTAGAACTTGCTACATATGTTCATCGGCCATGTTTTAAGCCCATATAAGCGAAATGAGATGTAATTATCAACATGAATAAAAGAGTTGTAGAATTAGTAGCTGTATCACTGTTAGTTAAAAGCACATTAGCCACAGATTGTTCGCTTATGGGAAAAGAAATGAACTTGTGTAATCTAATACGTAAACTGTAAGGGAAAACTAAGAGTGATGGAGAAATTATAATGCTGACGGATAGATCTGACATTTCTCGATTTGAACGTGTGATAGTACCGTTCTAAAGAATATTATACTGTAAAAGACGATTATTTAATACTTCTTGATGTTTATCAGCTCAGCTGTGGAGTTGTGGTCAGTTTTCGATGAAAACTTATTCCACACTATGAAATCTCCTCATAGTTATACAGACGCTGTTTCTAATTATTTGCAGACATTGCTGGACTTCGGGCAATCACCGAATTGCTTAGATAGATATGGTTTGACTCCATTGTATTATAATATACTTTATGATCCGGATACAAAAATATGCCATAGTTTACTGTATGAACATTCAAAAATTGGCATCATTGATAAAGATGGCTTACAAGAAATACATCAGGTAATTGTTATTAATAAATATATATTCTTAAAATATTTTCTGTTTTGCTTTATCGATAAATTTCATACAACATTTTGCCTTCAAAATATAATATATAATATAACAGGGAAATGTTTTAAACCTAGTGAACTGATATCTCATATTAGGCGGTGATCCATTTATGTAGGTTGATCAGTGTGCATAATTACTTAGAAAAAAAAGTAGAATTAAAACTTACTGTTGTTAGTCTATAGGATCTATGTGAATTGTCGATAAATAGTTTGCTGTTATTGTATTAAACTGTAGAGATTCATAGATGGATACAAGTCATATGATAAATAAATTCAGTTATTTAGAAAAAAGAGAACCACAGGAAATCTGTTCAGCCCTAGGTTTAAGTTATTTATTCATGTACAAGCAAAAATCCAAATAAACTCAAACCCGGGCCTCGCTAAGAGTACAATATTATTGGACTGATCGGAAAGGAACGAAATAATGTAAACTTGCACAAGTTATTTTTAATTAACCTTACAATAGATTTCAGTTAACAGTGAAAATAAAAACATTTACCTTTAAGTACTGTGTAATAGTACTAATTATGTATTGTTCATTACCTTAAAGATATTTATAACAGCTTTGAGTTATATGGCAAACTGATGTCTATTTAAACATTCTATGAAATATTACATAACACCATTCATTCATATCCAACAAACTATAATATCAGTGATGAATAATCATGAAAAATATCCTTTTCTTTCTCAATCACATCAATTCCCAAGATTGTTTACATCATGAATAACAATTGAAAAGTCATTCCATAATCACAAAATAGTGATGATATCGTGCTTAGGAACAGTTTTTTTAAATTTTATTTCTAATATGAATTAAGTAATAAACATTGATAATATCTACCAAACGAGTTTTTAAAGCTTCTCCAATTTTTTTTAAAAAAAGAATATTATAATTGTGCCTAAATAATTCCCCTTTTAAAAATAAAGATTACTGTTCACTTATTTATCAATCAATAAGTGACAATGGGAAAAGGAAGACCAGTATTTGAATTGTTTGTCATCAAATATACAAAATAACCGAAATAAAATTTACTTTAAATAATGACTCAATTAAAAATTAAGAAATTATGAACTTGAAAGTAATTTACTAATTGAAAAAAACAAAAAACAAAACAAACAAACTGAATAACACTTATTCAATTGTGAATTAAACTATGAAAATTGGAAAATAAAATCAATAATCATGATTCTTTTTTTTTTTTGGTAAACGTTACATATAAAGACCTTCATAAACTCTAAGGTGAACTGTTTATGTTATACAATATAAAATATAAATGTATGGAATAATTACCTTGATTATAATTGTAACCAGTTTGTACGATGATGTATATCTGTTGCATAGATTTATATTCTCTACAGTTGTTTGGTTTGCTGACTAGAAAGAACAGAGTAATTCGATTTCTTTAAATTTAAAGTCAATGTTCTTTTTTTCATTTAGTCCTTTGTTTGGTCTGAACATTCAATGTAAAAATACATTAAAATAATAAATATTGAAACTTATAATAATAAGCAATGATGAATACGCACAGTATGCACATATGCCAATAACAGACTGATCAATTGCAGTCTTAAACCACAATGGGAAGATACAAGCCAGACAATTTCAAGTGAATTATAATAATAAACTTGAGTTTTATTATATATTACTAGTTACTTACTTACTTACGCCTGTTACTCCCAATGGAGCATAGGCCGCCGACCAGCATTCTCCAACCCACTCTGTCATGGGCCTTCTTTTCTAGTTCCATCCAATTCTTGTTCATTTTTCTCATGTCTATTTCCATTTCTCGGCGTAATATGTTCTTTGGTCTTCCTCTTTTCCTTTGGTCTTGAGGATTCCATGTGAGGGCTTGTCTTGTGACGCAGTTGGTGCTTTCCTCAATAAGTGTCCTATTCACTTCCAGCGCTTCTTCCTGATTTCTTCGTCCACTGGGATTTGGTTTGTTCTCTCCCACAGTACGTTGTTGCTAATAGTGTCCGGCCAACGGATCTGAAGTATTTTGCGTAGAAACTGTTAATAAACACTTGTATTTTCTGGATGATGGCTTTCGTAGTTCTCCAGGTTTCCGCCCCACACAGTAGAACTGTCTTGACATTTGTATTGAAAATCCTGACTTTGGTGTTGGTTGACAGTTGCTTTGAGTTCCAGATGTTCCTCAGCTGTAAATATGCTGCTCTTGTTTTTCCGATCCGCGCCTTCACATCTGCATCAGATCCACCCTGTTCATCAATGATGCTGCCCAAATACGCAAGGGTTTTTATATATTCCAAATCTTCGTCAATTGTGATTGGATTGGTGCATTCTGTGTTGTATCGGAGAATCCTGCTTTTCCCTTTGTGTATATTGAGACCTACTGCTGCTATATCTTACTAGTATATAACGCTAAAAGCGATCAACTCATATTTCTAAAGAAAATTTACTGACTTTTATAAAGAGTTCTACAATCACATATTAGTGTAAATTGAGAGTTGCATTCTATAAACAAATTAGTATCACTTATTGTACTCCACTGACCTTCTTGTAAATAAAACAAAAATAATGATGTATGTAAAAGGAACTCGTTGTCTATGGCAATTTTCAGAGTATTTCAATGTTTTTTGCAGTGGTAAGATAGTGCCTAAATATGCGTAATCATACAATAAATAAGATTCAAGGATTTACCCATCAAAATATGCTCTGATAAAATTTGATATATATTATCAAAATCACTTCGTATAGCTGTCTAATATACAAATTATTGGTGAGTGAGTATTGATCACTGTCATGTACATCAAGTCATTCATAGTCCCGGTTGAATCCTACCGACCAAGCTCCAATGTGGCTACTAATCTGAGTAACTTAATATCGCATTCACTATTTCGAGATGTAAGGTGGTGATTGGTGACTGTCGATTATGCAACCTAAACCTAAATTTCATGCTATTTTACATTCATCAGCAAGAATAGAGTCCATCATGGAGCATCAGTTCCTTCAAGGTTCCAGGTACATCTTATTGAAGAGTATGAATACTAGGCCCAGGGTTTCCTGTCGAGTACCTACGACCACCACCATAGCTGTCTATTGCTCTTTTAAACTTCTCGATTCATTAATCTCCAATAAAACATACCCTTGAACTCAAGTTTGACTAACTTCACATTGAACTAGTATTACGCATTTACAATCATTCACTTATTTAGAAAAAAAACACCTGAAATAAGTTCTCATTTACTACATGTTCAGGCATAAAATCCCTCTGTTGATATTCACTATAAACTTCAGATATTCACATTTTCTTCAATGTTATGCGTTTAATGCTTTACATAAATTGTTGTTAATAATACATTAACGATTATTTTCATTATTGGTTTATGATAAAAACCATTAGTTATACTTTTCTAAACACTCAATATTTACACAAATACGAAAAAGATTGTTTTCTTTTCAAGAACTTGTCGGTCAAGTGACAATTTCATTATTATTATTATTATTATTATTATTATTATCTTAATAACTAGCGAGATTACACAATGATAGATGTCTTTATAAGTATATGTCTGTTCACATGCAACACTACAGTGCCTGGGTTATCGACTTTTATCTGATGAATGATTTAGGAAAAATCAAGATAATAGTAATTGTAATTGAAAGAAAGCTTAACCATAATAATTCTGAATTAGGTATCTTTAGTCATAGGCTTTATAGGTTTTCAAATCCGTAGTTAACAGCCAACAGGAAGACCTAGAGAGCTGTTTCACTCCGTAGTATATCATTTCTTAAAATTGTACATTTATAACTTATAAGGATTCAAATCCATATTCCTCAGGACTTATGACATAGCCATGACTTTTACACCACTGAGTTGGTACTTTTGAAAATATTGTGCTTTTTACAATTGGTTAAAAGCCTCGAAATAGAATAAATTTATTTTATTCCACAAATTTCATTATTCCACTTTGTCTTTGTTTTTGTTTTATTATTATTATTCTCTTCAAAATAATTTATCTGAGAATCAAGTTGTATGAAACAAGTGAAATTTGATTAGATTTAATACAGACTGACAAAACAGTAGTATAAAACATCATACATATTGTCTTTTTATTCATAATATAGATAGATATCTAATAATTAATGCGTCTTCTAATAAAAATCTACTCAGTTTATGTGTAAAATAAAATAATAAAGTTTCTCTTGTATAAGCTAATTTTGCTTACATGATAAAATGATGTTTATTCATGCCAATTTTTAACAAGCTATTGATTTTTCTAATTATGTCATACTTTTATTATGGATAACTCATTATAAGCATATATTATGTCTTTTAAACGTAATAATAATAATAATAATAGCAAAGCAAAATTTGAGTACCCACAAACCTAGAACAATTTTACTGTTGTTGATTTCATATTCACAATTGTTTACTGTGTGTGTGTGTGAGAGAGTTTGTGAAGCTGTGTGTGCGTGTGTCTGTCTGTCTATCCATCTTGTTGTTTATTTATTTACTTATATTCAAATTCCTTTCAATGTGTAAATCTTTTATTGATTACTGAAATCAAAGTTGTGTTTCTCATATTCTTTAAATTTTTCATCATTATAAAGCTCATTCAAAGTATAACAGATCATTCTTGTGTGTTTTTTTTGTAACTAAGATATTAACCATTGCCAACAATATTTTTACATCTTCAGAACAAGCCTTTTGAAATGTTCAAAATATTCGACAAGATAACAAATAATAAACATTTCCATAAATAATATGAAATGAGTTTAATTAGGGCACTAGGAAAACTATTCAACTTCTTGAAATACTGTAAAACTGACACCGTTTATTACTTTATTAATCATTTATTACACTTTATTTGGTTTTCTGCGATTGTTACGTAATACAGAAGTAAATTTCACCCTAGGAAATAATTTCAGTTATAATATGTGAAAATTATATTTGAAATATTCTCAGCGATTGAAATTTAACT